AATGCAATGGTCGCAATACTTAAAACATTTTTGATACTACACAGTATGATTCTGTTAATCATTTAAGGTATCATAAGTAGTTATTATTATTATTATTATTATTATTTTTGGGGGGAGTTAGAGAGGATACTGGGTTTGAATTTGAATATAGATTATTTCATTACCGTTAGATTATCAATGCTATTATAATTGACTGTTATGTGATTAATTACTCTTTCCCCATAAATTGTTGCAAATAAGTTAAAGAATATTAATTAAAAATATATTTGCATTATTATAATTATGTTGTGAAAGCTAGATCCAGAGAATGAAAGTCGTGTAAACTCAACTATAGACCATCGTTGGTTCAACAAAAGTATCTTTTGTTGGTCCAACGGAGTGAAAAACGGTTGAACAACGGTTGGCTTGATGTATGATACCCAGCAATGCATATTAATGTATTTCATTAACAATGAACCAATGTTGGTCCACAGTTGTAAATATTGGTTGGCCTAACTATGAGATATACAGTTAGACAACGGTTGGTTCATTGTGGAAGCTCTAACCAACTATCGACCAACTGTCCCACAGTTGGTGGCCAACCATCTGTACTACATGGGCTATTTATACATTGTAATTTTAAATCCAAATTGGTTTAAAATTCTTTTTTTTTTGTATCTAGAACATAGAAAAGGAAACAGATGCCACATCGCAAGGAAACTCTAGAATGGTAAGAAATGGATCATTTTATTATATTATCTGTATTAAAACGTAAAAAAGCCTACTTAAAAATGCTAATTTTTTGCATTTTTCTGTAATATTTATAGTCCTTAGCCTTCCAACTTCATCGTAAACAAACTCTTCATCATAAAGTATAATTGTGTTTGGGTTTTTTTTCCTGCATATTGAGATTTTATCCTGAACCCATATTTATGCATATATGAAGCATAGATTTTAGAACCAAAATAAATACCGCATAAATCTCTGGATTATTCAATTTCATTACATCATTACATCTAATTTATATAAAAGGCAAAGCCCTCACTGAATCACTCACTCACTCACTCACTCACTCATCACTAATTCAACCACTTCCCATTTACCTAGGAGGCTGAAATTCGGTACACCGATTCTTTGGGCATTAATAGGAAAATGAAGTAGTTTTTATTCTGATCGGGCTTTCGGGCTCCGCCCCAGTGGCTCTGGGGTTTCCCATGTTAACCTTATGATTTTTCATATTTAAAAGGAATAATGAATCTTAACAGCTATTTCAATTAAAGGGGGTTGGTTCTGTTCTATGATGTTCAATAGCATTAAAGTTACAAGGATTACAACAGGGTGCAGCACTATTATTTTTTGTTTGTTTAATGTTTGTAGCACGTGTTACCTTGAATTGTTAACAGCAATTAAATTAGCTGATAATATAACATGGGAACTTTAAAAGCCACTGGGGCAGAGCCCTAGGGACTTTTTTAGCAATAATTACTCTCATTGCTTACTCATGATAAAGGTTGTTTACAAGCTAATGGGAGAAAATATGTCTCAGCTTGAGGATACCATTAATTATACTGTATTATGTATTTAGATATTTTAGTCCAGCCATAGGGAAATGTATATTCTTTAGTTTAGCAGGTTTTCTGCGGTGGGGTATTTATTCAGGATAGTTCTTTGTTTATTATTTCCTGAGTTAACATTTTAATTCTGCTACATAGTTGATGGCAAATTCATGAACCCAAGATATATTCATTAAAAATAAGTAGTATGGTACAGTTGAGATGTACTTCACAATAAATGATTGTGTGTAACAGTTTTTCAGTAGATATAAAGAACCACGTTATTATCCTCTGAATTCTCATCCCGTTGCAAAGCACGGACAGAGTAGCCTAACTTGTTTCAAATAATGATAATAACCAAGTTAACTATATTAACAATGATAACCATAATGACAAAACAACAAAACCATAAGGTTTGTACTGTTCCCTTACATAATACAATTTCTGTTGAATTATCATCTAAATCCATATGTGTTCACAGCAATCACGTATCTTGCAGCTCTCACCGGCAGGAGCCAATCTAACCAATGTAAGCAGAATATTTCTTCAATATGACCAAATGCTACTTGAGGGTACCTAATGAAATCAAATTGGCCTATACATAGCTAATAATAGCTAAAACGTTCTGTAGTAGACCTCTGTTTAAACAGCTAAATATCCCTGTTTTAAATACATATATATTTATTAGTCTAGTCTATGTGAAACATAATTATAAAAATCTTACACAGTAAAATCAGGTCCATGACCACTTAACCAGGACAAGTCACAAAGTATTTATTGATATATTTAGGATTAGTAAAACTTCAAAATCATTCTACATTATGAGTATGAGGCTGTTTAATAAACTACCTCTTAAAGGACAAACAGTTAAACAAGAAAGTTTCAGTAAAACTGTTTTTGACTGGCTTGTGAAAAATTCATTCTACCTTGTTAATGAGTTTTTAAATATGTCATTGGATTACTCAATTCAGTTTTACAAATAATGTGACATTCATGTTGAATGTGACTTAATTTAGGCTTAGTATTATTCAAAATCAGACATTTTAAATAATTTTGAACGGTTTTACGTTGATTGGTAACTGAACTAACTTAAGTTCACGTTTTATTGAATTCTTATACTCAATATATGTTGTTTCAAGTTCTCTAATATAAGAATATAAATATAAGAAGTAAGCAAAAGTAGAACATAATTTGACATTTGTTATATTCAACTTAAATATTAGGTACTAATTTTTTCATGAAATGGATTTTTCAGTACAGAGTCCAGTGGGTTCCACTCTACACAGTCCTCTTTAGTCCGACAGTCTACTACCCTCCCATTGGATAACAAACAGACAGGTCGACAAATGTGAAACAAAGTCTCAATTGTTAATTAGTTTGTACAAAATATATTATTAATTTCAAAGTGCAACATTCATCATTCATTTACACTTCCTTAAAATGTAAAAAAATGAAAGTTCTGATAGAGAGTCTCTGTAGAGGTTCAGGTACTCTGTAAAATCATCTTTGTATTGTCTTTCAATTGTAAGTTACTGTACGAGTTATCTTTTTCAAACATAATTTTGAAAAGGGAACAGGTTCAGCTAGCTTATTTTGGAAAATTACCTGAGAGTCCAAATGCACAACATATTATTTAACATAATATCAATGTTTATTTTGTCCCAATAAAGGAATTCTTTAGATAGTAGATTGAAGAGAAATCTACTCTTATTTCAAAATTAGTAATTTTTAGTAGGGGTGTGCGAGTAGTGAATTTATGTGGCGAGTTGAGTTTAGAAGAATCTAGTGAGTTTAAAGTTGAGTATTTTTACAGTGATTTGAGATGCATAATTGTTTCAAAAGCTTCCCAAACCGATTAAGTGTGTACATTATGGTATGTGCAAGATTATTAAAAATAACACTTAGCCTACAGTTTACATTAGTTCCAGATACAAATACTTAATTTTTACACTTTCAATACACTTACAACACTGTTAAATTTCGGTTACATATTCAATGCAATTTTCATTTATGTTCAAAAACCTCATCTATGGCATAAATTATATTTGATTAAATAATTTGTTGTAATTACTACTTTTTTACCAGTAAACTCTTAAAAAATCCAAAACCTATGTTTATAATCAGAATCAGTAATGCCTGCTTCTAGTATTGTTCCCTGTCTGCCATCTTCAAATGTCAAATTTCCCAAAATTGTATGGATGTACTAAGAAACATGATTTTTGACTGTCATAACTTACTTATTTGTCATCGCTGTCAAAGGAACCCTGTTTTCTAGGCCTACTATTTAATAAGAAAAAATGGCTGTATTTATATTTTGGAAAGTAAAACGTTCCATGTTATCTTCTCAGTTTATTTGTTAACTTTATGCTTATGATTTTGTTACTACATATAATGCAACAGTAAATAAATATACAAACAAAAAAGATCTGTCTTCACACCCTAACCTTAAAAAAATGCTTTTGTAATGATTCTTCAGATCTGGGAAGCTGTCCTTGTCATTTCATATACATTTTAGTCTTGCTCTTTCAGTAGGGTATACACTATACGGTTTTTGCTCTACTGTTAAAAACTGTATGGGTAATTTTTGTTAGAAGTGTAAAGAACAACATGAGACTTTCACACTACACGATTACGGCGACCGCAGAAAACAGTGCTGTTTTGCAGCCGTCCACTGCCACTGAACCTGACGGTTGGTGCGCCGTGCGTCAGTGACGCGTGTAGTGAAATGCAAAGCTTACATACTGCATGGTTATGGAACGGGAGCCCACCAGCCAGTGCAAATAGATCAGCTGTTGCAATGATTATCATATACAATCTGATATGTCAATTGTAGGCCTACACTGTTTATGTTCATCATGATTTTGTAAACACAATTATCTATCCGTACAGTAAAAAACCGTATAATGTGAAAGAAACTTAGATACGACGTAAAATAGTTTGTTTCAACCGGATGGCGGAAACCGTATAAAGTGAAAGGAGCGTTATGGTACCTATCCAAACCAAGCTATTTATACTTCTCTTCTCAGTTATAACAACATTAACAACTGTATTTCAGTATATTTAGGTCAATTGACAGTATTAGTTTTAAAACAACCTAGGATCGTGCGTTGATTCTACCATACTGTACACGTATAAATGTTTCCAGAAAACTCATTAAAAAGCTCAACTCTTCTTCTTGAAAAGCAAGAAGCGATGTAGTTTTCTTCTAAAGCTTGATTCGTGCCCAGTACTCAAATACTCTTTTTGGTAAATAGTTTGTATTCTACCATAATTTATAGTTATTGTAAAATTAAACTAATATTTATTAAAAGCACGCTATTGTGAACTCGCAACCAAGTGGCCTATCCTATGTTAATCATTGAAGTGAGTAATTGAAGAAACTTGGACTAAGTGAGCAGTTATTATTATTACATGCCTTCAAAGGCAACACTACATATCTGAGGAAAAATACCAAAACACAAATTTTAGACATGGTATAAAATTTATTGACTTTTCTCCATAAGTATAACAACAATAAATAAATATAAAGGCATTGTTAATTTAGGTTAGTAAAAATTAATAATAATTATGATGTTGAGATGATCACTAAAGCAACAAAATGTATTTAACATACAAAAACATCTATTAGGTACCTGATTAGCACATCTTCAGACTAGAATGGATTGGCAAATAAAGCGTTGAATGAAAAATTCATGTGATGTCTTCACAATAATTGCTCAAAGTTGGATGCGAAAAACACTGAAACAAACAGCACAATTTTAGTCAAAGAAAAATGTTGTGAAACTAATATCACTTTTCACCACACTATGATGTTTTTATCTGTTTTACATAAGTTAATTGTTGGCTGAAAGTTACGTTTTGCTGGCCTTGCCAGCTGTCATGGTCATTTGGGGACCGAGCAGGTTTTTACATCCCTAGGGCCGCAAAATCAGCTGCCCACTTACTTTCTTCAAACATGAATGCATATTAAATACACAATCAGTATCCCTAGCATTGCAATAGAATTGTTTTATTGTCATCGCTGCCTAGCAACCATTTATTATTATTTTTGCTGATTCCTCAAATTATTTCTTCACGACATAACATTAAAGTTGTAGTTGTGTTGACTATCAGTGTGCATTATTATTGTGGTGTATTCACCACTATTGTGTTAATAGGGTATAGTGTGGTGAAAAATAGCGTTTGTACCACGGACCGATATGGTTTTGCAGCTCTCGATCGTTTTAAGTTCTCGACTTCGTCTCGAGCTTAAGAGCTATCTCGAGCCTGCAAAACCTCATTTTCGGCCCTAAGTACGAAATATACTATTACATCTTACTGCAACAAAAACAGCTGTTTAAATATGTTACAGGTGTAGTTTTTTTACTCCATATGGAGAAAAAGTCAGCCAATATAAACTCAGTTGTCAAATTTGATTATAAACATTCGCATGAATCAAAATTATATATTGAAATTATATATTGGTTATTTATATATTTAATCAGTTGACAATCCAGAAAAATTTTTGGTATTGGTCCATTATTGTCAATTGTTTGACAAATCGATAGTATAATGTACATTAACACAATCAAATAGACCAATTAATTGAATCATCATTACCAAACAGCTGCTTGTTTGCATTAGCAAAATTGTAAACAAGTTGGAAGTTGTTTTGAGAGGATATCCTTTATACAGATTAACTTAGTTTGTTAAATGGTGTTGCAATATAACAAAAAGTATGGTTCATCACGCAAGCAAAAAGATTATTTTATTTAAAGGCAGTATTAAAAAAATAATGAAGCACCAATACTTGTATCACTCAAAAATATGTGTAAGTTCTACATATTATATTCTCATAATAATAAGCTACGTAAGCTCATCTCACTCCATTCTTCATTCACTCAGCATTCAAATTAATAACAAATAATTGGTTAAACCTAATAATGGCTACATTTTTTGGCAAATTCAAATTCAGCTTTAAATACTACACATTAATAGTAAATAAACTATGAAAAAAATAATAACAATAAGTAGTTTAAAATCTAACAAAAAACCACAAGGTGGTAACACTTTCCCCGCCAAGTCAGCAATCCAAAAAAGATAATAAATCATTACTTTTTCCGCCATGAAAAACAATGTAATGTATGTAAGTTTGGCAACTTGGCGGCAGACTTTTGCTTGGTTTTTTTCATTAAAGTTACGTTTGTGGATAATTGTACAAATCAATTTCTCTAATTAATTAGTCCAACTAAGTATAATAATTTTGAGGTAATCAGTAAATATAAAACCATCACTATTATGATTTTATGAAATGTGGCACAAATAAGGTCAAATTTTGTAAAATAAGCTCTCACATAGCAATGTACTAATGGGGGAGATACTTGCTCAATGAAACTAGTTTTAAGGTATTTTTTAAAATGATCGAGCAAAAGTCTGCCGCCAAGTTGCCAAACTTACATACATTGCATTGTTTTTCTTGGCGGAAAAAGTAATGATTTATTATCTTTTTTGGATTGCTGACTTGGCGGGGAAAGTGTTACCACTTAGTGGTTTTTTGTTAGATTTTGTTTATTTTTAATATCAGTTTCAAATTTCATCAATGGTCATCTTGAACAACATAAAATGCGTTGGTGTTACATAAGTGTTCTGATAATTAAACCCGTATATCTAAAGACTAGTGTAAATTGAGCCCTTATTAGAGAAGTTAAAATGTAATCAAACAGATTAGGATTGTTAGAAATAGCATAAGGCAATCAAATATTGAAAAACTCATTTATCCTAAATTTACATATCACTTTCTAATTGCTTGTTTAACATACGTAGAGTGAATTTCCCGATCGTTTGATTTGTTTTAGTGTATCAAAACATAAAACAAACCTAAGTCCTAGTACTAAGTTTCTAGTTCCTAGGTTTCATATGTTTTGATAAGTAGTATTAAACTGTTAAAAATGACGAGCTGCTGTACCAGTGTACCATCGGTACACTGCATTTTTCAATGGAAAGTATCGGGGAATATCACTGCTCTAAGTAATTTTATATAGTAAGTAGTTCAAATCATTCGGTATACCTGAAAAAAATCTATACTTATAAAAGGCAAAGCCCTCACTGACACACCCACTCATCACTAATTCTCCCACTTCCCATTTACCTAGGAGGCTGAAATTTGGTACATTGATTCTTTAGGCATTAAATAGGAAAACTAAGGTGTTTTTATTCTGATCGGACTCTCGGGCTCCGCCCCAGTGGCTCTGGAGTTTCCCATGTTAGCCTTATGATTTTTCATATTTAAAAGGAATTAATGAATCTTAACAGCTGTTTCAATTAAACAAGTTGGTTCTGTTCTATGATGTTCAATAGCATTAAAGTTACAAGGATTACCAACAGGGTGCAGCACTATTATTTAATTTATGACAACAGCTAATTTGCAACCAAAAGGTGAGTGAGCGTAGCGAACAAACTTTAACCTGGAGACGAGTTAGCGTAGCGAACGAGCTAACCTGAAGGCAAGTGAGCGCAGCGAACGAGCTCCAACCTAAAGGTGAGTGAGCGTAGCGAACGAACTTCAACCAGGACGTGATTGAGCCATGCGAACGAGATCATCTTGAACATTAAGAAGTTAAACGGGGCAAAGCCCGCGGGTACAGCTAGTACTTTATAAAAGTTTTAAAATATTTTTTCAGCTGTTCCTATGAATTTCTCTAACATTGAAAATAATTGAGATGTAATCGCAGCTGGTCCTTCTTTTGTTTTGATTTTAATCCCATGTTATTTAAATGGGCCAAAATCGTACTTTGAGGGCTTGCGAAGGGTTTATGGGTCAACTCACCGACTTGAGACCCTCAAAAGGCACATCTACACGTTAAGGGCTTTCAAACAACATAAAGAACATTAAAATTGAGCCAGTGGTTTGGGCTGTAGGTCCGTCAACATTCAAGGAGAAGGAGGAGAAGGAGAACACGGAAAATTTGTGAATTTTCAAACTAGTTTTTCTTGGCTCAAACACAACCGTTTTTTAAATTCTTTTTTTAATTTTGTTGAGAATGAGTGCCCCTATCCAATAGATGGACAATTATTTTAATAGCTTTTGTTTCTTCAGAGCTATAGACGAGTGAAAAAACCACTTTATCACGTCATGTATATATACACTGCAGCAGCTGTGTACCGCTGGGGGACTTGGCGGGGCGTTCCTTAATACATGTATTGTTGGTAATCCAAATGGTTGCTGTGGCAACTAGTTTCAGCTCACAAAGGAGCCATCGTTTAAAACTTTACAAGGACATTGTCGCTTCTTCTAAGTTGTCACATTTTACAAACTCTTGCCGGCCGCGTCGTTAAATCTAGTCATGCAAGTTATGTTTTTAATGTTTCGATGTTTGAAAATATTGGTGAATTGTGACTACCTTTAGAGGAAGCGACGATTACCAACCATACAGGCATTTTAAACCACTTGGTGTATCTTGATAATCTGGAGGCAACTCATATAAAAAATATGAAAAAATGAATATTAATTCTTTAATCTATGTACAGTTAGTTCATCTGTTAAGGTGAGGAAAATTACTTGAATCTGAAACCATGACTTTAATAGTTAAGAACATTTTTAGATTGTTGTAGTCTATAACTTATTTATAGCCAAGGTAACTTCTAATCTTCATGGTAAAAAGGTAAAACTAAGCATTTTTAACTTTTTATGTGATATGATAACAATGTAAGACTTAGAAGTTTAGAACGTCTTGAAATTAAATTTATGTATGCATGTTCTGTTCAGTGACCCTCTAGTAAGACCGCAAAATGTTTATTAAAAGTGATTATAAGACACCACCCATTAAATCTGCCCCTGTCCCTGAGAGTACTATAAACTCAAATATCCTGATTCAGTGCATACTTGGCAAAGTCAGGAGACTTGTCCACAATGTGCTCAAACTCAGCAAATGACAGGGCTCCATCATCATCGAGGTCCGCTTCGTCCAAAATGTTCTGTATGAGTATCTGGACATCCACTTCAGACAGTCGCTGTGGCCCAGTCAACCGATCTATCACATGCCTCAGGTCTGACACTCCCAACATGTCGTCTCCGTCAAAATCTTAAAAATCATATCAAAAAGAGTTAGGTGAACAAATACAAAAAGTAAAGTGGTCAGATACATTTGTACATCAATTATCAATTATTTAATATGGGAACGCCACTATATATAATATATTTGTGTACTGGAATGCTCAAGGATGTTTTACACTTTCAAAATGAGCTATGAAAATACACAATGGTAGTTGGTCCAGAATCACGTAGAAAGAATATTCCAGATTTTTTAACACTGTGCTTGGATTTTATATATTTTTTGCAATAATTCCAACCATTCCAGAATGTTCTGGATAGTGTTGGCCTATAATGATTTATCCAGGTCTAGAACAGCAAACCCCAAACTTTATGGTCTAGCCACCCACCACCACCTCGGAATTCTTGCAACCACCTTAATAAATAATAATAGAATGCTATAATTTTTTTTTTTTTATTATTAGGTATACATTTTTAATATTATTGTGTAGACTGAGCAACATCCTACCATACTCTGGCAGAGGCCAGATGGACTCTATAGGATTAGGCGACCCTAATTACTACATACACAGTCATACACTCAAACTCTCACGCGTCAGGGTCCGGACGGTTTAGCCCTCTAGTACGCTCTTACAACTTTTTAAATTTGGTTCTGGAAGTTTGTGGTTTTGCCATTTTGAAAATCTTCAAATTAAGACAGTAAAAATTAGGGGTCGCCGGAATGGTCGCCCCCGGAAACATCACCCCCCAGGCTAAACGTGACGTCACGAAACCAGACAACCAGCTGGTATAAAATCTATGTCCGCGACCGGAATCGTTCCCCCCCAAGGGCTTGACAAGTAATTTATCAAAATCTAGTTGATATGAACTAATTATGTTATTAATTTTAATTCAAACAAGTAGAAACGGAAAGGTCTTCCCCGGCAAATGTACACCCCGGAATCGTCCCCCCCTGAAACGCTACCCCTAGTAGGGCTGGGCTGCTCGGCAGCCTACCTGCTGCCCGTCCTCCTCAGTCCATTGTTCTGAGGGTCGGCCGCTCGTTCATTATTATTGTCGCTTGGACAACAGCTTTTCCACAGAAGAAAATTGCAGACGCTGTGGTGGAATATCAATCAGTAGATTTAGATGTGTATGAACTTCTAAGACAACTAAATAATGCGAGCAAAGATTGACTTTAAAAAATTATTCTTTTATACTTAATTCATAACCAACGATAATGCGTAAAGTTACATTTTCTTTGTTGCATTAAATGGCAGTTATACTTATCAACATCAGTAAACTTACCTTACACCCTATGGTAATTGTTAAGCAACACATTTGTTAAAAATAGAATAATTTCTAAATGTATTAAAAATGAATCGCAATGCTTTAGGTTTGGCCCCGATTTAATTAATAATTTGAAAATTAGAAACAGATTATTAAATAAGAATAAACATAATAATATCTTTTAGGGGATTAATCCCTTAAACTTATCGAAATAATTAATTTTTAGTAATTACAAATATGTAAATGATACTATTCTAAAGGTTATGCCAAAAAGTACCTTTATTCAGATACAGCCTAGGCTAGTTTCATATCACTGGAATATAGAGTCAAAATATAATGAAAGTATAATCAAAATATCAGAATCACTTTAAATCGAGAAGAGGACTTGCAATCAGTGTTGATATACCAATAAATTAGTTTTGTTATAAGATGTATATGTTTAGAAAACCTTTTTGCTACTGAAGTTTGCAAAATTATGTTTCATAATTACTAAGGGGAAAATATACGTGAGTTCAAATTTTTAATATGTATCAAAATTTGAAATGTTGAGCTGTAAACTTGTATTACATCGCTTAAACGATAGTAACATTCGTATATACTCCAATTAATGTATCATAAAGTGCCAATTATAATTAAAAATACCCCCGACACAGAAAACCTGCAGACTAAGCGAATTTCCACTTGCCTGATTGGATTTACGCTAAAATGTCTCTGTAAAAATATCACATTTATTCCCTATTTAAATAACATTAGTTCAATATATATCAATATCAATATCAATTGATATGGGGACGCCACCTAGGTGCGTATTTTAACCCAAATATGAGTGTAGAATGTTGTGAGATGATCTGTGTAGCTTTTTTATACACAAGGAATTTATACAGTACCGGTACAAACTTCATTTACAATATAATTTAAAACAATAAAATATATCAAAATCAAAATCAAGAGCACAAAAAGAAGAAAAAAGCATAAAGATAAATTTTGTTGTGTTACACACTTTAAATTTAAGTGTTTCGTTTCTTATTCTTATTTTAGCGAATTTCCCATATAGGGAATAAGCTATTACCGTAGTACTCATGGTAAGACCTGGACGCAGGACCGATTTTTTTTTCGTTTTGAGGTCCCTAGAGGCCAAAAACACCACCCGTTCAAATACATATATCTAATATATAAAATTCTCGTGTCACAGTGTTTGTCTGCAAACTCCTCCGGAACGACTTCACCGATCGTTATGAAATTTGGTGTGTAAATTCTGTAGGTATGCGAATCGGACGTAAACTATTTCCCGTTTCGAAATTCTTAAAAGGGCTCCGCCCCAGTGGCTCTGGAGTTTCCCATGTTAACCTTATGAGAAATGGAATTAATGAATCTTAACAGCTGTTTCAATTAAACAAGTTGGTTCTGTTCTATGATGTTCAATAGCATTAAAGTTACAAGGATTACCAACAGGGTGCAGCACTATTATTTCTTTTACATTTATGACAACAGCTAATTTGCAACCAAAAGGTGAGTGAGCGTAGCGAACGAACTTCAACCTGGAGGCGAGTTAGCGTAGCGAACGAGCTCCAACCCAAAGGTGAGTGAGCGTAGCGAACGAACTTCAACCAGGACGTGATTGAGCGATGCGAACGAGATCATCTTGAAAATTAAACGTAACGGTACTTTCTTTCCATCGGTCTGTCTTAGGGGAAACCTATAACTTAGGCGATACGAAGTTCGCCGGGTCAGCTAGTATATATATATATATGTGTGTGTGTGTGTGTGTGTGTGTGTGTGTGTGTGTGTGTGTGTCCGTTAGCACGATAACTCGAGCAAAAATGATCCGATTTTGTTTAAATTTGGTACAAACGTGTAAACCTACGTTTATTCGAACGAGTTCGCGATCCAGCATGATCGGACCATGGGAACGGGGATTTACGGGGGGTTTTATGGGGTAAAAATAGGTTCTTCCCATTTTTGACCCAAAAAACATAAAATTTAGCAATTTCGTTCAAAACCATTTTGTAGAGCTTAAAAAAACAAATAATTTAGTATATTGAAGCGTTATTATGCGCCTAATGGTTACGGAGAAAATTCAAAAAAATTGTAAATTTAAAATTCCCATGTTATTCTTATGGAGAATAAGTAACCTGTTGTAGTTTGCTTGCTTATAAACATATTTTGATCAAATTTGGAAAACGTTTTTATTTCTTACTAACTATTAACATTTTACAAAAAAAAAACAGTTTTACCCTCCCTGATGCAGCAAACCTAAGTACTTGTTAAACTAATTCTATTTAAATTGGGAATAAATGTTATATTTTTAAGTAGACATTTCAGTGTAAATCAAATCAGTCAAATGGAAATTCGCTTAGTCCGCAGGTTTGCTGCGGCGGGGGTATTTATTTCTTTTTATAAATACACATTTTGCTACTGTAGTACCTTTACCTATTTGGTAGTGTTTGGACACCTTCTTATATGGGAAAAGGTTGAAAAATATGTAGATAATATTTCAAATTATCAAATCAAATATTTAGTCATTTTAACTACGTAAAAAATAATGTAAGTAAATAATTAAATATATTTTCTTAAATTGTTTTTGGCAACAAATAAATCATTAAAAACCTGGTAAACATTAAAGACCAAGAGCACAACAAATAAAGAAAGCAAAAAGAAAAATCATTTTTGTCCTAAATGAAAAATGGCTTTAATACAAAAAATAACGTTTTACTAAGTTGTAGAATATGCCTACGGTTATCTGTAAATATCAACTTATGCTCTTATTTAAGATTTCCTTCTGACTCCTTGCAGGATGTCCCCATTATATGACAGAAAACTGACAGTCTTTAAAACGTTGTTTTTAGGTGTGGTGTTTATGTACCAAATCTTATTGATTTATCTATTGCCGTTTTGAAAATATTAAGCCCATGCGGGACTTTATAAATACACCCTGTATATGTGACCGTGAGCGCGGTAACTCGGGCAATAACGCTGCGAGTTTGATGAGATATGTTACAAACGTGTAAGCCTAAGTTTATTAGAACGAGTTCGTGAACCAGCATAATCGGACTATGGGAACGGGTGTGTCTGAATTGCGAACACCTCCAAAATGCTGGAGACTGAACATAAGTCGCCAAGATTGCGCACAAATATTCGGAATCGGGGAAAATGGATGAGTCACTGTTTCTTGTAATTTATGGAAGATTTAATACAATTGTTTTAAATGTAATGTTTTAAGACTTGACTTGGCATGTACAAAAACGCAAAGAGTGGAAAAGTAAACGGATAAGCAAGAATTCATATGGGTGGGTTTCATCGATTTCCACTAGAGTGTGCAATTAATTGTGATATATTATATTTTTAAACGTGACAGAGTTTTTTTTTTCATTTCAGGATTCTGAATCAACCACTTTCGCGATTTCGTGATTTTTGTGTTGAAATAAATATAATTTTCTAAGGAAGGTAATGTCAATGCCATGATTTCATTTTTTTAAGTTTATTTTTTTTAGTCTAGCAGCCGACGCTAATAATTTAAAGTCGTTTCAGTGCTGTTTTAACTAACAGCTGGTTTCAAACTGTCATTGACGTTTTTTATGTTACAAGTGGTAGTTTACTTAAAATTGATCGTCGGTGATTGCCCGCATACTGTTTTAATTTTAAATGTTGTTTTTTCCTACCGTAACGGATCTTCGTATTCAGGAAATCTGCAGTTTTGAACTATACATGTCTAATACTTCTACCCTTGGGTAAAATCAAGATTTGTCTGAAATCAAATCTGTGTAAGTAGGCCTATAAGTTTATGCCATGAAAGTTATGTCATGTTTGTAGAATGTGTGTAGTCTATATCGATATACCAACATTTCGAGGGTTATAAAAATGTAAACCGGTGTAGCAGGTCTCTAGAAAACACTGGGGAAAATCCCCTACCATATTTTGAGCTGATTTTATTGTTAGTGCAACTTCAGAGTATACTTTTTACAAATTACATTAACATTTTCAAAATCTGTTTAAAACTCAATGAGGCGTTCTGTTCACAAATTAACCCCTTCCAAATTAATTAAGTACATAGGCTAGATAACACTGATAATTATGAATTATGTTAATGTACGAATTATGGTAAAAAGATGAAACTGACTTTAGTAAATAACTAACTAAACTTTTCCTTGACTATGTTAAACAAACGTATTTGGCTCAGGTATTCTTGGGAGGGATACCTGAAGTGGGGAAGTCTAAGCTATTTTACAAAAAATACTTCCCGCTATAAATACAGTTGTACTCTACGAATTAATAGTCTGCAAATTACAGACGACTCCATAAATCAATACTCTGAGAATAGTGGATACTATACTTAGGATTATGTTCTCTTGCAAACTTTTAAGTTATACGTATTAATATTCTGCGAACTACAGGTAGATTTAAATGTGTAACTTTCAAAACAATGGACGACCGTTCATGGAATAACTGTACTACTTCAATGTCAATTTAGTTATTTAATATCAGCAGTGTGAAATCATGAAATAAAGTGAATGTGACACTGTTGCTTGCTTCTCTGTCAACGCAAACGTAAACAGTGTGAGCTTTTTCCTGTTTATTGCCGAAGAAACTAACCAATATTTACTTTCTAAATTCTTTTTACGGGAAAGAGTCCTTCACCAATATCAAATCAGGAATATTCTCAATGCATTTATTTTACCATAAAATCCAGACAATTATTTAAATGTATAAAAATTATATACAGCATTTATTGCTCAATGTTTACAATTTAAGAATTAGGAAATGTGAAAATATGTTTGTCAAGTGTGTACTTTATTATGATGTTGAGTGGTTGAAGCATGCTCATATTAATACGAGTTGATTCCTTACTTAATTGTCACTCTTACTATAAACATGTTATTTCATTTCCACGTTTTTCAAATACATTTTATACGTTGACGGAAAAAAAAACTATATGTAATTTATACATCATTTGATGTATAAAATTAAGGGGAAATGTCAATAGAAAGCACAATATCAAAGTGTTAATTTGTATTTATCTTAATATCCACAACATTTGCGTAAAAATACCAAATCCTTCCCATTCTTGCGAGTTCAGTCGAGCGGTGGTAATATGGGACAGTCTCTACCCTTGTGAACAATAGCTGGCTCGAGTCACGAGCCCAAGCCCTACAGCAGGTATACCGGGGGAGATCATGGCAGGGGGGGACCTTTCCGGGGTGTGCATTTTGAAAACGATCGGGGTTAACGTATCCGGTTAACATCAATTCTAATTAGAAAATCTGGTAATTGTATATGATAAGTGAATATAATTATCTAATTAATACGCAAACTCAAAAATAACTCGTCATATCGACGAGTGCATGCTGCAACTGAAATTGAGTGTCCGCGGCCGGAAACATCACCCCCCGGTCTCTGACGTCAATATGACGTAGGGGGGTGATGTTTCCGGGGGCGACCTTTCCGCGTCCCCAAAATTAGTCTAAAAACATGATACAATTATATCGTGAAGGAATAACTGTGAATCTAAAAACTTAAATAACTGTAAAAGTTTTATTTTGGACATAACAGTGATAAATTTTGAGGTATTGTACAAACATTTTAATTAATTTTCTATGATGGTATGATGGGTACACATATAGGCCTAAGCATATTACTTCTTGGTTACCTATGTGTTTTTTTCTAAGACAAACAATCACCTTATCTAGGATTCGATAAATTTTGTAAACTGTAAATGTGATAATTTGCATATTACATAATAAAACATTAAATTTTAAAATACTAGCTACTTGGGATGTATAAAAAAAATAAAATGAAAGCTCAATAGAGCAATGGGGGAATTGCGGCACCATCTTCAAATTGAATGCTTCGAATTTTTCGTCTAGTTCCCCGTAGCCTAAGCGGAACTGCTCGAATGATGGAATGCTGGCTTTGGATCCTCAACCATCCGATAATTTGGGAGTATGGTTTTCTCCATTTTACAGCCAGGGCTTCGCTTGTTCTCCTCTGAAACGCTTCATATTCTTTATGGGGGACTCCTTCCGTGGAACATATTAAAGGTGTGAAGCTTCCTCTGATGTCTTCGGCTGCTTTGTCATATTTATTGTGTTTCTGAACGGCATGGTTTCGAGATATTGTTCCCCATTCTTGGTTGGCGTAAGAGGGAGCGTCAGCATTAATAATGCGATTATCAAAAAACGCTATTTTCTCAGCCTCCCAAATATCATTAACTTTAAAATCAGCTTTTAAAGCAGGCACATTGTTTGCAGGGCCAGCTTCTCTCATAATAGGCTCGACTTCAACCCCTTTCCAGGCCATATTTGCTATCGCAGCACAGTGGTCTCGATGTTGATCATGCCCATGTTTGATCAATCCTCCTTTTTTACAATTTAAAGCATGTGTAAGATTCATAGGTTGATCACAACCATCACATCGTACTGGTAAATTTCTAAGTGTGCTGTAATTTGTAAATTGTAAACTGTAAATCTTTGTTAGTAAATATCATTTTATTTTTTACTAGCTGTTTGCCCGTTCTACTCGCTAGTAGTATAATATTTGAAAAAAAGTATTTAACCCAATCTCTATTGCATGACAATTGCTTTTACTGTTTACTCACCGAAAATTCTAAAAGCGTGCTCAGCTTTTACAGCTTTAGGCGCAGCATCACTGAACACAGACATCATGTCCAGGAAGTCTTCAAAAGTACAATCCCCATCATGACTCGAACTAAACACTCGACAAATACGGTCGCCGAAGGGATTCACTTTCAATTCTGGATATTGCAAAACTTTGGCCATTGGTAACTTGGCATTCCTGTTGTGTCCTACTTTTTCAGGGGCAAGTGCTTTGAATTTCTGGTGAGCACTGAAAATATAAAAAACAACATTGTGCAAAATATGAAATTATATATAATGATAATTAGTTGTTATTAAGTGTGCTTGGTTATAATATCACAGCTTCCTTTAATACAAGGCCGCGGCGAGATAAAAGTAGCAATGCTGTAGCATCGGCCTACTGAAACAGTTTTGTTGCACTAATAACTTATAATGGAACATCTGTGCAATGTTTATGTTTACAGGTTTGTTTTCTTTGGCAAATAGGCCATGGCCATAGGCCGGCCGGTGCGATGTAGCCACACACCAACCCCCCGGCCTTGTACTAGAGGAGGTTATGATATTATAAGGTAGAATTTCAAACCCAGTGCCAATTAGGGATCAGTACGTTAGATTCAGATTCAGATTCTTTGCTGATCATTAAATACAACTGTACAATAGATCTTGTCATGCAACATGCAATAAAATTCAATGACCAAAAACAATACATGCAAATGCAGAACTCTGTTACAAGTATAAAGACAGATGAAGACATTATAATTCATAATAAGGAAGCAATGGTTACAATGAAAGGTTGAACTAAGGTGTTGAGTAACATTAAAAAAAAAATACTATAGAGCAAAATGTAAAATAGGCTACATAACAATACAGTGGGCCTGATCAAGCTAAACAACATGCACAAAGTATGAATTATAAAATTCTTGATCAAAATAATAAATTCAAATCACGGAACAGTAAAAACTATAACAGGTACAGAGGTGTTATTAAACCTAATCTATAGACTAATTCATACATGCAGATTGTGTCAGATTGGATAAAAAACTAGATCTAGCGAATATAAATCTTAATGAATAAATAACAAGCATGGTAAAGGAGTTTATAAGCCTAATAATCTAACATGAACAGCATGCTACAATCAGTTTCTTAAAACCGGAACTCATTAATATTGTAGAACAGATTTTCAGCTAACCAAACACTTATTATTTTCATAAATTTATTGAAAGTTACTAAGTGAGCATTTTTGGGCAGCCTATTAAATAGTCTTACACCAGTGTCTACATATGAGGACTGCACCTTTTTCAGTCTGATGTACAGGTCCGATTTATTTAAAACCTATTCCTAGTTCGAATAGGTTAAATTGTTAGTTTAAATTGCCTTATAGGATAAGTTAATTATTATGCCCGGACTGGCGGTGAATTTAGGCCCGGACTGGCTAGGTCCGCGATCGCGGAGGGCCCCCGGCAGAAGAGGGCCCCGAAGGGGCCCCTTCTTGCTTAAAAATTACAAGAAAATGTTGTTATACTTGTTATACTCCTTCGGGGCCCTCTTCTGCCGGGGTTTCTAACAAGGGTTATATAACAAGAAGTTATCAAATGTTTTTAGTAACGTTTTGTTTACATTTTCCAAACTAGATAAATGTGTTTAACAACAGTTTGTATCTTGCCGTTTATATAAAGGCATACAACCATTGACTATAAACCATAGCTTGGTATATAGTTATGATATATAGTCAATGATGCAACATACTGTAGCCTATTGAAAGAAGAGTTACGTTGTTGTAGTGTAATTGTAATACATCGTCTGCGCGGTGACTTGTGTTGTGGCATGTTGTGGTTAGCAGAAGCAGACAACGGCAAAGTGATGCTCTAGCTGATTATTCAGCATAAAGACAGCGCAAAAAGACAGGAAAAGAAGAAAAAGGTACTGGAATCTTTCCGGTAGGTATGTGTCGATTCTCAATGCCACAAATTCTGGAACATTAGTATGTGTATCGAGAATAATTTATCGGCAAGAGTCAATGCCGCTACCGATACCTAGAAGTGGATAGGAATAATTCGAATGCGAAAATAAATTGATGAAATTCAACCATAGATTTTTGTTAACACTACCGCATATAAAATGCAGTAATAACGCATGAAACACGGCTAGCACATAAATCCAACTGTTAAAATTTTTAACACAAGAAAATTCAGAGAGTACAGATAGTATTGCACAATGAACAATTCAGTGTCAGTCAACCAGCTACTGCATCGTCTTGCCTACAAAAAAGATTTGTGATAAAGGGCAATAGTTTGCTCTACTGGAAAGACAATTATATTTTAAATTCATGTTTTTATTAAGAACATAATAGCTTTGACTATTAATACAACAAGACATTCCATTCACATATTAAATTTGTAGCCATATTTGTTCAAGTTTGTTATTTTAGTTAGAAAAAATAAATCTCGGTTACTAAGCCCTAAGCCTAACTAAAGATGTAGCCTATTTTGTCAGACTCAGCAGAATAATTTAATCGGGTTCTTTAAGAAGGCCTACTACATGGCAAAATATAAGCAGTTGGAATTCAAACAACAATTTATAACTTGGTTATTAATGGTAAATACAACCATAGACTAACCAACAAAAGTGGCTTCTTGGCTTTCTTGTAGGGATGGTCAAGTCTCGAAATTTCGGGAAATTTTAAATCTCGTTACACGAGACGAGATTTCTTATTGGCCGAGATTTTTATCAAGACAAGAATAAAAAAAAAAAAAAAAAAAAATTAAAAACGCCTGCAGAAAGTTAATGCAATACCCGCAATACAGGAGCGTGTTGTAGTTGCGTTTCCTTTGCGAAGGCGTTCTTATTTAATTAATTCTTTAAATGTAAATATTACTTTAATTATTTTAATAATATTACTTTAATAACATTTGAGAAGTTTTGTTAAGTGTAAGCAGTGTGAGGAATGTTTTATTAAAAGTCAAAACAAGTAACTATTTTATAAAAATTAATATTGCTTTTATTTTATGATTTATTTTATTTTAGGATAAGTTGAACTCTATCCTAACTGATATCACTATGTTTCCTAACCGTAGGCATTTTTAATAAGTTAGGCGTGATTAATAAAAAAATGTTATGCTGATGTTTTTTAATAAAAGATTGTAAATATTCTTGCCTATTATCATTATTTTTGTATTTAAACAGTCATCTAACAATGTTACAAAATCAGGTAAAAATTTTGAACGTGCATTTCCCGTTGTGTATGAGAAGGGAAATCCCGTCTCGATCTCGTCTCGAAATTTTATGAGAAATAAAAAATCTCGTCTCGTCTCGTCTCAAACTAAAAATCCAATCTCGTCCATCCCTACTTTCTTGTAAACTTTGAAGATCTTTTTTCGTGTCCAGTTCGTGTTGGTGATACTGATAACAGGTTTGTTGTTAAGTGGACCTACTGATACAGTGTTAATACACAGTACCGTATTTCCCATTAGGCCCACTAGGCCCAGGCCTAGGGCGCCAAATTTTAGGGGGCGCAAAATATTCAACTTCTTAAATGAATCCCACGAACGCACCCACGCGTCAGACCAGTAGCCCTGCTGCCAGCCCACTGACGCGCGGGCCTGTCCGAGACCGAGTGTAGTTTGAATTTGCCGTGTTTAGTAAGCAAATAGATGAAGAAGAAATAAGGGTTGCCTTGTTTGGTACTGCCGTGTTGGGAATAACCTGCTTTTACTCGTGTGATATTTCGATTCGTTTTGCTGTTGTCCCAACGACATCCCTGCAGCGACTGCCAAAAGTCAGCTATGTTATTCTCTCCTGTTTACTTAACCTGTTGTGTTGTTCTGTTTATGTTTAGTTAGTAAAAAATGTCGAATTGTGCCGGTATTTCACTTAGAGATAATGAAATAGGTGTAATTTTTTCATCAATTATATTTGCACACCGGTATTTATATGTATCGTGATGGAATTATTTCTGATTTTGAATGTTGTTCATCATAAACGTATTTTGTGTTGTTTATGTTAAATAAAAATGACTAAAAACTCATACTTTTCAAGTTATTTCACACCATCCAAATAAAATTTTGACCATAACAATTATTATTTACTTAAAACTGGTGGATACCGGTACATATAGGCCTATATTTTTTACAATACAATATGGTATGGTATTGTAAATGTTCCACTCCTACATTTTACAAGATTGGGATCTTCTGAGGGAAGGTATTTATCATTGTTCAGTTAATCTCATTAGAGGTATAGTATTATAGGGGCATATATACATTTTAAAGGAGTTGATTTATTGAAAGTATCAACGGATTATCCTTGTATATGCTACTCAATGATAATGATCGTGACATTATTTACGTTTCCCGACCAATATTACGGCCGGGAGGGCGCAACTGTTTTGTGGGCCTAGGGGCGCCGTTTGGCTAAATGCGGCCCTGTTAATACAGTTAATACAGTGTTTGTCTTGTTAGTATTATTTCTCAAATCCCTAAAATCTTTTAGTGATTATTATTACCACACAAATAATGTTGACACAATTTATTAAATTTAGTGTGAATAATACTACACTTTGATTTGAACTCTGTTATAACACTTATTGACACTACATTGTGTGTATTATATTGTTGTAAATAAATAATAAAGTTGATTTTAATAAAAAATAATAGACTTAATATAAGTAAATACCCTAGTATTTTATAAATTATAATTTATAAATTATAATTATTATAAACCTAGCAAAGTGTCTTCCTTCTTATAAAAAATTCCAAAATAGTGAGAGAAAAAACTTGTTTACAAAAATCTAACAAAAAATACTCCCCCGGTAAAGGCCCCCTCCCAGCATGTAGCTGAGGGCCCCAAATGGTCCCAGTCCGGGCCTGATGGAATTATTAAATAGCTTTAAATGTTAAAAAATATTTGTTAAAAAACATTGCCCAAAGAAATGGGTTTAAACCCGCCATGATCGATAAACTTGTCAAAAAACAATTAAAGGAAAAAGCCGATATTAACAGAGTAGGTGGCACAATTGACAAAATCTTTGTAACATCAGAGTATGGTACAAGGCTACCGAATATACTGAAACACGAATTAAAAAAGAAAAACATCGGGGTAGCGTTTAGAACTTCGAACAAACTACGATTACTAAATCCTTCGTCCAGTAATAATCTAGAAACAGGGGAAAAAACTGGAGTTTACAGATTATCTTGTGATGATTGCAATAGTTTTTATATAGGACAAACCGGCCGTGCCTTCAAAACCAGATTCAAAGAACACCTTCCAAAAGCAAAAAATCATTTAAAATCCAATTATGCAGCCCATCTCATTAATGAAAATCATAACTATACAAATTTTGAAACAAATAGGCCTATGACACCCCTACATTTCTGCACAAAAGGAAGCTTCATGAACGCCATAGAAGAGTACGAGATATACAAAGCAACAAAAAGCCATAGTTATGATCTATTAAACGACAAACTAAATTTCCAGTCAAATGCATTGTATGATACTGTAATAGCTAACCAGGAACAGCTGACCGGCAAGGGACAAAGTTCACGAGACCAACGCTCACCGCCGCAGTCATGACAAACGTGTCTAAGTGCGCGCACGCGGTTCGTAGGCCTACAGTAACTATTCTCCGTCCATGTATGTGTAAAAATTATATTTATTTGACGACCTCGGTTGAGTGAAATGTGTTCTTGACGACCTGAAGATGAAGCTTATACTGCTTCGAAACGCGTAGTCGTTAGACAGCAATTTGGATTACTTTGGCAGATCCAGGTAACATTATACCTTTTATAATCTAAAACAGTAATCCTGAGACAAGAAACAACATGAAGTTAAAAAATAACAAGACCATGATTCAGCTACCACTTTAAAACATTGAATGAACTTTTCCAAATTAGAGATAGCCTATGTAAAATTAGAGAATAAATATTTGGTAAATTCTCTAGGTCTAAGTTAACCATACTGGTAACTTAGTAGTACCGGTACACCAACCAAACAACTAAAAATATGAAAAAATTGGAGTTTAATATTTTTTGTAGCAAACGATCCAATCAATTTGTGTGGTTAATCGTATGAAAGCTGACACCAAATTTGATCAGGCCTAAATAAAATTCTATTAAAGTGAGCGAGTCTAAACATATAATGTTCAAGCTCACGTTGAGATTATTTATTTATTTATTTATTTTATATACCAACGGACATCTCCAATTTTATAGACTAGACATAACAATTAGATACTTACTACAATACTTCTTTCTTTGTAAAGTATGTCAAATCCTGAAAAATATTGTATAATGAATAAGGCATATTAAATAACATAGAGGATATACGCGTCCGGTAACCGGACATGGATTAGGCGTTCAGTAGTGATGTCACCGGGTTCTGGGGGTCCGGAACGCCATTACCACAACGATACAATATACTGCCATCGGTGTTTGTGGTGTAGTGGATAGAGTGCTCGGCTGATATGCAAGAGGTACCTGGTTCGATACCAATCGGTATCCTTAACTTTTTGTCAAAGATTTTGCTTTGAATGCCATTTCTTCTTAACCCTCCGAGTGTTATTTGTCGCTGCAGCGACTCACAAACACTGTTTACGGCAAAGGCTCTATGACTGACGAAATCGGATTGAACTGGATCGAGTTAGGTATCGTTTTATTTTACAGATTCAGAGCTTTCTCCGGAGGTCTGTCTCTAAGCGCTATTCATTTTAGTTCCAAAAATATTGTAGCAGACAGCTGACGTGCGTATTTGTAAACAGCTTGGTTATCCTCGGACCGATGACTGATGTGTTTTATTACGTTTATCATTGTTTTAGTGTTAAAAATCAAAAGTAGTGATATACGTGGTGCATTATAAGAAGATTTAAGTGATTTTGAAGGGCTGGTTGATGATCCTGAGGAAGTAGGTAGTGATATTGATGTAAATTATCAGCCAGATTCCTAGCTATGGTTAGGCTATGCATTCTTAGCTAAACACTATGTACTGAAATCTGTTTTTTGCCCATAACTTATTTATTTGCAAATCTACTTCCTTATATTATTATATATTTGTAATCCTCATAAAATTTAGAACAAAGTGGCTATTTTCAAATATTTATAGGCCTATAATTTATACAATTTCATTGAGCGCAAACTTTTTTTTTTTGAAAATTTTCCAAAATATTTTTTTGTTTACCTAAAACATTTTTTTGAAACAAATGTTCCTTATGTTCTATGTATAATATTGAAGCCCATGATTTTCCAAACAAAATGGTATATAGAACAGTATAATTAACATTGTTTTCAAGCTTCTCAGATCCGTTTTAATAAAACCTTGTAAATGAGCAAAAAATAGGCAGACATTAAGGCCAAAACAAGGGACACTCGGAGGGTTAACTGTACATCTTTGGTTAGAATTTTTGGCATTTATAATTTTATTTTATGAACAGAATTTAACCTTCATTCGATTTTTTCATTACAGTAGACTCGCTCTATCCGGACTCCTCGGAGTCGAAGCCAGTCCGGATAACAAGTTTTCTGGTTAAACCGAAGTCCCCAAAATTTTTTAAAAAGGACAGTTTACTGTAAAATTCAACTTAAACTTAGGAGACTATTGTATTTAGACACGTGATCAATGGTCTCAAATCTTTCCCAAGAGAACAGTCGTTTCAGTACCGCCCACTTCCTGCCGATCTAGTCCGGTTAAACCAATGTGCTGATAAAAATTGTCCGGTTAAGTTAAAAGGTGTCAGGATAAGAGGGAGTCTACTGTATCAGTAGCCTAGGTTTGGTTGGTTAGGTAAGTTATGACAGTAACTGCCGGACGTGTAATCCACGTCAGGTTACCGGACGCGTACTTATGCTCGGCAAGTAAATAAATAGTATTAAATAAGTGTTTAAATGTGTAACTTACACACTGTTTGAAATGACCAGTACAAAAACTTACCCTAAGTCTTAAATAACAAGATGGCCCTTATTGTAGCACAGCCCTTGTTTGTGGCTACATATAAAAATTCATGTGTTATCAAATAGCTTATTAGATTAAAGAAGAATCATAATACAATTTTATTTTGTCAGTTCTTGTGTCTTCATTTCGTTTGTTACTAGGGCCTACAGCAGATAAGTACCCTGATATTCGCCACGGGTTTTACCAACCCTCGGATTATCCGGCCACTTCTAGGAAGCTAATACCAAAATGTTTATCTCACAGCTTACAGAGCGTAGTTGCAAGCACTAGTCTTTGTGACTGAAGCGTTTTCAAAATTTGATTCTTTATATTTTAGCTAATTTAGTTGAGCTATAGTAAGTAAGTTAATAAAATAAGACCTTGAACTGAACCATGGCTAAATTGACACAAGCGACAAGCATAGTAAACCTACGGTATTTGTTTAGTTTTGCACATCAAAACGTACACTTACCTGATAATCTTGCAACTCTTCTTCTGTGAATTGGCTTAGACTTTGTCCCATGGCTAAATTAAAATAATAATGCACTTGATTTGATCATTGAGGGATAACTTTTCTTTTAGTACCGAGTGCAATTAACTTACTTATTTGAATATTATGCTATAGGCCCTAGGCCTAAAAGAATTTATAAAACTATTGAAAAACTTAATCAACCTGTTGTATACAGATCAGTGCTATTAAAACGTTAACTTATTGTTAAAACAACCAAAGGTAAGTTAAAGTTTTCGTCTTATATGCTTCTTCTTGAATGAATCTGGCCAGTGTCCACCCACCCTTGCTCAGCTAACCTAAATCCCCCTGGCCCTAGTCCTATCCTAAATCCTAATGCCAAATTTGACTTGACTTGACTACTTGACACTGGCTCTGGCTGCCTGGCATTGACTTTGTTGACTAATGAACTGTTACTCACTGAGTTGTAATGAATGTAATGTGTTGTTGGGACTGACAGTGAAGTGGAAGTGATAGGTGTAGAGATGTGTCGCTGCAGCTGGAACTACATTTATCCATCGTTCCGAGAGTGGAACTCGTTCCACCGTTCCAAGCGGAACCACAATCCAGTTCCAGTTCCACTGGAACTACTTTTTCAGCTGCAGCTCGGTGGAACGATTTGAATGTAGTTCCGGACAAACAGCTGCAGCCTTTTTGTAAATTTTTAAAGATAAGTTCCGGAGTAACTGGATTTGTAAAACACATACAGTTACAACAAAACAGCTGCAGCTGGTTTATTAATACTCTCACTAAACATTAAGTTCTAGTTCTAGCCTGTGCAGCTGATGCGTTTGTGTTGGTTAGTCTATGGTTTGACTTATTTGGTCTATTGTAAACAAATGTTTGATTAGCGGATATGGTTGACATACCTTAACTTCAAAGAAATTAATCATTTTCTGTTTTTTTATTTTTTCAGGGAGGAATTAAATAAAAGTACATCAGTCCAAGTTAAGTCGTGCTCATAATATATACAAATTTAATTATATCTTCCTCAGTAATCAGTACCGTAATAATTGTTTGTGTTTAACTTAATTCAGGATTTCTTGGCTATTAACTTTAGAATTTTATATTAAGAGTAAGTGTAAGTGGTGTTTGAATAATATTATTTTAACAATAAAAAAATGTATAATATGAATAAATGCATAATATGAAGAACCTCTAAAATAATTTATACCGGCCTTGTCACGTATTATTTTTAGACCCTAGATAGACAAACTAAAATAATTAATTAATTGTACAACATTTCCAAAACACGATATTAATTTCTTTACAGCCGCTATTTTGCATTATTTAAAACAATATTCTAATTCAAGAACAGCTTAAACTAATCCGTCTCAAATTATGGCAATAAACTGAGATTTTGTTCATCCGCCCTTTTGCCTCGTTCCACTACAGCCATAGCTCCGCTGCAGCGGGCAAAACCAGCTGCAGCTGGAACTGCTTTTGGAACGAGTTCCACGGCGACCTTGGAACTAGCTGCAGCTGTTTCGCCCAACATCTCTAGATAGGTGACGCGGTGACGGTGACAGCTTGGAATCAATGTCAGGTACCACTTCTTCTTCTTCTTCTTAAAAGAAAATTGTCTGTAAAGCTCGTAATGAGAGCCATGCAGCTTATTGTCTGCAATATAGACTAGGTGGCGTTCGCAGAGGCATCCACAAAATTGAGCGGAGTCATCAGGGGTTCATTGTATATTGTTTTTGTCATACTATAGTAAAAACAGTCGTTTTTAATGCATGCGTTGCGGGTCTAAAGTAGCATTTTTACTCTTTAGGGAGTAAAAATCGTGTTTAGCCTCTATGCAGTAAAAATCAGCTGTTGTCAACTCAATTGTAAATTACTATTGTAAACCATTGCATGAATCGAAATAAGTATCGATTCGTGCTTCGTAATAATTTTAACCTACAGTCTACAGTCTCTTCCCATAGTATTTTAGCATTGCAGATACATTAATCCATTCCCGCACTCAACACTGCTCACCTTTACTACTTCCATCACCACCCCCTACGTCGTGGACCTGTTTCCCTCTCTTCCCATAGCATTTTAGGATTGTAGATACATTAATGTAATTGCCAAAGACAGTCCCACACTCTGCACTGCAAGCCTTACTACTTCCTTCACCATTTCCTACGTCATAGACCTGTTTCCTTCCCTTCATTTACGTATTATATACATTTATCTAACTGCCCAAACGGTTCCCTCACTCTGAACTGCCAGCCTTTACTACTTCCTTCACCACTTCCTACGTAGTGGGGCCTGTTTCCTTCCCTTCACATAGCATTTTAGGATTGAAGATACTTTAATCTAACTGCCACAGATGGTTCTCACACTATACTCATACTTTACTACTTCCTAAGCCACTTCCTACATCGTGGACCTGTTTTCATCACTGTCCATAGCATTTTAGTATTTTAGATACGTCAATATAATTGCCACAAACATTGCCAACACTCCGCACTGCTAGCCTTTACTACTTCTTTCACCATTTTCTATGTCGTGGGCACGCTTCCATCCCCTTATCATAGCATTTTAGTATTGCAGATACATTAATCTAACTGCTACAAAACTGTTTCCAGTTCCCACACTCCACATTGCTCACCTTACTACTTCCTTCACCTCTTCTTACGTCGCGGACCTGTTTCCCTCTCTTCCCATAGAATTTTAAGATTGTAGATACTTTAATCTAATCGTCATAAACAGTTCCCACACTCCGGACAGCTCACCTTGACTACTTCCTTCACCACTTCCTACATCTAGGACCTGTTTCCGTCCCTTCCCATTATTAGATTATTGCATTATTGGATTGCAAATACCTTAATCTATTGGTCATAAGCATATCCCACACTCCGAACAACACGCCTTTACTTACTTAACCGTATGTAATGTGTAGTAAACAACACACATGGGTGGGATGGTGTTAAATAAGGGTTATATTTAGGAACTTCCAATAGCATTTTAGGATTGCAGATACTTAATCTTAATCTCTACTTAATCTAATCGTCATAAACAGTTCGCACACTCCGGACAGCTTGCCTTGACTATTTCCTTCACCACTTCCTACGTCGCGGACTCGTTTTCCTCCCTTCCCATAGAGGTTTAGGAATGCAGATACCTTAATCTAATCGTCATAAACAGTTCCCACACTCCGGACAGCTCGCCTTGACTACTTCCTTCACCACTTCCTACGTCGCGGACCCGTTTTCCTCCCTTCCCATAGAATTTTAGGAATGCAGATACTTAAATCTAATCGTCATAAACAGTTTCCACATTTCGGACAGCTCGCCTTGACTTCTCCCTTCACCACTTCCTACGTCGCGGACCCGTTTTCCTCCCTTCCCATAGAATTTTAGGAATGCAGATACTTAATATTATAATCGCCATAATCAGTTTTCACACTCCAGCCTGCTCACCTTTACTATCTACTTCCTTCACCACTTCTTACGTCACGGACATCAAGCTAGTGTCGTCATTTGGTTATATTTATGATCCATACCGTTTCTGTTCTAATATCTGTGGATTAATGCTATCAACTATTTCTTTTCTACTGCATTCAAAAGTCAACAGCTGATCATATGTATTTGTTTATGTGTCAAATACCTACTTCTTCCATAAGGTACATTGAAACTTTGAGACCCAGTGGGGCGGATTCCTGAGAGACTTTTTAAACGCCATATAGATGTTGGCACTCACCGATATGGTCTTTATCACCATGCAAAATTTGAAAACGATTGATTCAGCCGTCTAGGAGGAGTTTGCGTATTACGAAATGCATAAGAGTCGACGTATAAGAGCTTCGCTCGCTCCGCTCAATTAAGTAATTGCTTGCTGGCCAACTTTAACTCCATCCCAGGCCGCGGCCTAGAATTGAAATGGTGAGTCGGTCCAGGGGTGCCCACAGGGGGGTTTGATGTCACAAAATACGACATCAGAATTTTATTTGGGGGGGGGGGGATTTTATGATTTTGGGGGGGATTCAAGCCAGTGGTTGGTTAAAACATTGACTATATAACACTACTAGTAAAGAGTTATATAGTCAATGGTGCAGCACTACCGGTATTATGTTTTTTGCATTTATTACAACAGCTAATTTGAACCAACTAGCAACAAAAAGTTGTGGTACACAATGAGAACTTTACTTTTTCCAAGGTTTAGGTGCAGTGGTAGAACATTAGGGCTATGGTAGATGTGTGATACACTATAGGATACCGTATAAATTAAAAGACCAAATTTCCTTAAACCGTGTCCTCTCCCATAACTGCAATAAGCATTTATACTTCTATGCCAACCCCGTACGAAGGACGGGTACTCTGCTAGTTTCATATTAAAAGTGGCTAACAACACAAATGTTGTAAAATTGGCCTGCCACTGAGAAGCTGAGATCCCAGCCAGATAACATATAGGGTTAAGGGTAAAAAATGATATCAATAACCCATTTTTACCCAATAAAACCCCTCGTTAAACCCTGTTCCCATGGTCCGATCATGCTGGTTCGCGAACTCATTCAAGTTTATCCCACCTCACACCTTTAAACCAAATTTTATCAAAATTGGACGAAAATTACTCGTTATTGTGCGGATGGACATATATATATATATATATATATAGATGTATATATACATATATATAAATTTGAACGAATGGTGTTTTTGGCCTCTGGGGACATCAAAATGAAAAAGTAAATTGGTCCCGGGCCTAGGTCTTACAATGAGACCTACGGTAATAGCTACTTCCCTATAGGGAAATTCGCTAATAAAATATATTTTAAACGTCTAATAAACAACGCAAAATACGCTAAAAATTGTAAGAATATTTCTGAATTAGGCTGATTAATTTGGGTTGTTTGGATTAGGCCTTTGTTGTGAAAAAATACGATGACGTAATTAGAGACCAAATCTACATTGTCTATTTAATGCATTTCCCTTCTTATTATTATTTTTTTCACTTCACTTAGCTGAATGTGATGTTTACTTTTTACTTTAGTCATTTATAGGCATACTTTTAAGCCATGTTATTTTATTGTTCGATAGTCTTTTTGCAGTTTTTAGGTTTTTGTTTTACATTGAAATACATGATTGATAATTCAGTTCATTTTAGTCTTTTAAAGGTGTTTTACATTTTAGTTTTTACATTAAAATAGGCCTACATTTTTCGTAGGCCTATGTTTTATTAAGGCCGGTATTAAAATGTCATCTCTAAATCGTCCTAATATTGGTAGAAGGCCTACATTCCAGTTACATTACAATCATATCCTCCAAAAGAATACACAATCATAAATTCTTTCCAGCAAAGAAAGCTGAGTTTAAAGACTGCAAGGGTTGAAATGAAGACAAATGTTTATGTTGCACAGTTTAATTTAAATGTCAAATTTCCCCTCCTGTTTTTATACTTAAATACTGCTTTTTTAATAGTTACTGTTTTTTATACTTAAATACTTTTAACCAATTTCATAAGGGTGAAAAATGAAGTCCAATGTTTTTGTTGTAACATCTATTGACTTTTTTAAAATTTAGTTACTTATACAAATATCAAATCACATTTGCTCCGCTCAACTGGCTTTCTCCTCTCTGAAAGCAATCCTAGTTATATTAGTAGCCCTGAACATGCAAGAAAACATAAATAAATAAATATATTTATATATATATGAATTTAAACAGATGGTGTTTTTGGCCTCTGGGGACCTCAAAGCAAAAAAAAAAAAAAAAAAAATAGTCCCGGATCCAGGTCTTGCCATAAGACCTAAGGTAATAGCTTATTCCCTATATGGGAAATTAATTGCTATGCTGAGTGCATTGCAACGCTGGTGGCGCTGCCTACGAACTGACAGGCAAAGCTCTCTCAAAGCACTTGACGCTTTTTACCATGCGGTTGGCATTCTGGGTTATAGTAGTATGTTTTCTGTGCTTAAAGGGAGTATGTTTAATCTATGGTATTGATGTAGTAAGATTTACAAGCTATATAAACCAATATGTTTTAAAAACTTCCATGCAAGTCAGCTGGATGAACAATTAAACCATAGATAAATAGTTTAACTAAATAATAAATACCTAGCACAACACTACTTCAAAAAAAATTTAATGGTAAGTAATTAAATTTAAAAAATAGTAGCAATCAAATAAAAATTAAATAAAATAAAGTAAATAATAGTCCTAGATAATAATTTAATCTTTTTATTTTAAATAGTTTTACTAAAAGTAAGTTACCTAGTGTTTGTTACTTCCATTTATGATGTTTGCATAGGATTAGTTTATGCAAGAATTCTAACAAAATATAATATTTGTTTTAGATGTTCCGGCAATGGTGTTCCAATGCAATCAAGAAGGTAGATATTTTAAAGCCATGTACATTTCGGCTTTTCGGATTTTTGGTGTCATAGCAGAAGATGGGCATTTAATTTCAATAGTTCCATCTTCATTCAGAAGGCCATCAGTACTTGCACCGAGATAGGGGTTGTCGCGGTCGATGAAAAGGCCGCTCCCTGTACTTCCACGACACATTATTTTGCTTGTTTAGTGAAAGACTTTTCCAGAGGATAGCTGAAAGAAAAATCACATCTTAACTTCAAAGCAGTTCTACGTCTCGTTTTACTAACCATTGTTGTTGTTTTGTTGTAGGAGGCGTTGTCGCTAGTACAGCAGTTCTACAACTCGCACAACCGTCTAGTTGACTGGATGTTGGGAGCCGAGGGACAACTGTCTGTGGCCGAGCCTCGTGAGGACAACATTCAACGACTCGAACAGGACATTCAAGGTTGGTGTTTCTCATGTTAACAGACTTCTGGGGCCAACCTAACTAGAATAAATTGATTTTAGCGAATTTCCCTATAGGGAAGTAGCTATTACCGTAGGTGGCACGGTAAGACCTAGACCCGGGACCGATTTACTTAAGCTTAAAAAAACAAATAATTTAGTATATAAAAGTATTTTTGTTCGATTATTAGCAACGGAGAAAATGGTAAATTAAAATGCCCATGTTATTCTTATGGAGAATATTGTCAAATGTTGTAGTTTGCTTGTTTATGGATATATTTTGATCAAACTTCGCAAATTTATTTATTCTGTACTAAGCTATCAATATTTTACTCAAAAACACACTTTATTAGTTTCCTTGTAGCAGCAAACCTAGGTACTCGTTAAACCTAATGTTATTAGAATATATTTAACTGAAAATCAATTCAGACAAATGGAAATTCGCTTAGTCGGCAGGTTTGCTGTGGCGGGGGTATATTATACTTAAAATTTAAACTAAAGTTATTTGCTTTGTCATACTCTAAAGGTTTATTATAACTGAAAGATGCGGTGTCCAACTACCTATCAAGTAAATTTAAACTCCTATTCCATGACTTATTTGCAATTTTAAATCAATTAGTCAAAATGTACGTATGGAAATTCAAATACACTTTTTATCCCCTTTACTTGTAATCATAAGTCTTAATTTGTTTTTTAAACTATAACTAGCACTAAACATTCTTTTAAATGAAAACCTTGGTAGAAATGAAAACCTTTAGAATGAAAACCTTTACAAATGTATGGTTTAGGTTTTTTGTTCCCACCTGATCCTAATGTGTCTGTGTACAGAGTTCCGCCCAGTTCTGGAGAATATCAACCTAATTGGCCCAGTTCTGGAGAATATCAACCTGATTGACCCACAGTTCTGTCAGATTTCTCCAAGAGAAGGCGCCTCGACCATCAAGGGACTTGTCACCCGAGACAACCGAAGGTTTGATGCCATTGCTGAGCAGATACAGCGCAAGGCCGAGCGCATTCACCTATCTAAACAGGTACGAAAATGCTGTTGTAGCTAATTGTTTATACCTTTATCCATGTGTGCTACCTTCACAAGTGTAAATTGGAAGGTGCAACTTATTCTTTAAAGCGCAAAAAATGTTTATGTTTGCTTAAAACACATCATTTTTCTTCTTAAATAAATATTTCTTCTTTAGTAATGTTGTTCAGAATAATTTGGTCTCCAGTAATTAACTCATGGGGTGTACTGATCATTGATTTGAACTTTAAGGGATTCTCAGTCATGTATTTGTAACTGGGCCAAAATTAATATACAGAGGAACCTCGATAACAAGACTCTCATGGGGATAATTAAATAAGACTTGTTAGCAAGGTTGACTTCTTCTTCTTAATAGAGTTTTGCAATGTGTGATAAGGGGAAAAATAAATTCTAGGGGATTTAAAAATAATGACACATTTTTTATCAAAAGCGACTTGTTATTGAGGTTCCATTTGAGAAACAAGCAAATTTATTTTTCATTCACCAGCATGAGGAGCAAAAAGGGGAAAGTGGCTTTGTTTACTAAATTATGTATGTTAATGTTATTATTAAATTATAATATGTTTTTTTAGTTGAAACAAAAAGTAGTTGTGCAGTTTAAACACTCTCATGCATATTGTTATAGATGAACTAAGCTTATGAAGAAAAACTTCATAAAAATAGATCTTTGAAAAGTTATATATTTTCTTTAGAAAACCAGTAGACATTCTGTGACACATCTGTTTGAATTGAACATACAAACACTTCACTACAGAACATTACTAATCAGCTGTTACTGTTCTGCAGCGTTCCATGGAAGTTATCGGAGACATTGACGAGTTTCTGGACTGGTTCCGAGAGGTGGAGGCGCAACTGAGAGAGGCGGAACCTCCGAGTGCAGACCCTGATGTCATCCGAGTGCAGCTCAAGGAGCTGGCATCGGCAGTCGGCAGTCAGAAGTCACCAGTCAGAGATGTCATCTCTACTGCCAAGAAGGTGGGTGGTTTTGACTCTATTGAAGTATCCTAACATAGACTAGTTAGAGGAGATCTATAACTAACATGGGTATAGATGGATACAGTTGCAGCCTATTTGACTTTCTCCCATTTTATGTTAGTTTACTGAGGTAGTGTTGTTTTTGTTTGACTTTTTGGTGAAAATAATCGTTTTGGCGTTTCTTGAGTGTAAAAGGTGGGGTTTGTAGTGATTTTTAACAAAGATGGATGTCTCATTACTGGTTCAAATCAATGTAATTTGGTATGTAAGTATAGAATCAAAATTTCTCTTGCTTTAATTTTTTACTTTAACTTTCTACTTTGGAGTTAATTTCCACAAAAAAAAAACTCATAAAGCTGCAGAATAATTCAAATAAAAAAAAATAGCAAAAAGCAACATATAAGCTAAACATTGTGTTACGCAGGTGCTGCGAGAGTCAGCTCAACACGAGGACACCTCCAGCACCATCAGAAAAAAAATTGAGGACCTTAGAGAGAACATGGAGACAGTCTCGAGTCTCTCCCGAGACCGACTGGAGATACTTAAGCAGGCGTTGGCGCTTGCTGAGCATTTCTTGGAGTGTAACACGGAACTGAGCACCTGGCTCGACGAGATGGAACGTCACGTGAGCATGTTGGCCATGCCTGCGCTGCGGCCAGATCTCATAGCCCAGCAACAGGACAAGAACGAGGTAACCTGACTTCCAACATTTTTTTCTAATCCTTCCTTTATATCCTAGGATGCTAGGCTACAGCCTGGAACTGTTTTAACAAGTCTTGAGCATCATCACATAGCTAAAATCTATTGCTTATTGGTGGGATTTGAACCTAGAACTCAAGGACCGAAACCCTCTACTACTTGTTTAAGTGGTAGAGAGTGGTGTTTCGGTCCTTCCTGTTTAGGTCGCTTCCCCATACCTTGATGTAGTGTTTATAAGAACTAACACAAATATTCTTTGTTTGAAGTTCATTTTTGGTGATGGTATGTATATGTTGTTGGAGGGAATTTGCAGACCATTTCCTACCAATAAGTAAAACAACACAAAGACTTTAGTGTTTTGATTTTTAATCCCTAAAATATTATATTGTGGGTATATTTAATTACTGATCAATTAAGGATACGTTTCAAGACGTTTCTAATTCAGATCAAAAGGAACTAGAAGAAGACTAGTTAATAAACTCAACATTGACTGGAATTGCAATAGCTGAACACACCAAATATGGTCGAGCTAGCACACTTCCTCAAATCCTCAGACCGTGTTATTGTGATTGTGTTCTTATTGCTAGGTAAAAATTGTTGATTAAACTCTTTATTTCCTTAACATAAAATTCTAAAGTGATATTTAAGTTTAAATTTTACATATTTAGTAGTTTAACAATCAAACTACCCCCCAGAGAATATGTTGTCTAACCAGTGTCTGATGTTTTAGCTGCTGGTGCAGTCCATCACAGAACACAAGCCACTGGTGGACAAGCCTGGTCAATCTCCGCCCTGATCTCCTGCAGCGCCTCTTGCTGTTGTTGTATCTCCTCGGGACGTACTGCCGGAGGCTCCTGCGCCTGCAGACTGTCCTGCAGATCCCGCAGAGTTGGCAGTAGAGATGACATCTCTGAATATTTATTTATATATTAAGAATAAATATTCTTAATTTTATATATTAAGAAATATTTATTTAAGAAGAAAAATGATATGTTTTAAGCAAACATAAACACTTTTTGCGCTTTAAAGAAGAAGCTGCACCTTCCAATTTACACTTGTGAAGGTAGCACACATGGATAAAGGTATAAACAATTAGCTACAACAGCATTTTCGTACCTGTTTAGATAGGTGAATGCGCTCGGCCTTGCGCTGTATCTGCTCAGCAATGGCATCAAACCTTCAGTTGTCTCGGGTGACAAGTCCCTTGATGGTCGAGGCGCCTTCTCTTGGAGAAATCTGACAGAACTGTGGGTCAATCAGGTTGATATTCTCCAGAACTGGGCCAATTAGGTTGATATTCTCCAGAACTGGGCGGAACTCTGTACACAGACACATTAGGATCAGGTGGGAACAAAAAACCTAAACCATACATTTGTAAAGACAGTTTATCAGTAAATAGCATATGGATTGTAATAAAAATTTTCAAACAAACGTTAATTATAGCTGCTAAATGAAATAAATAGCTTTACCTATATGGGAAAAGAGAAATGTAATAGGATTCTATCTGACTTTTCCCCCGTTGTCCTTAAAGGCATAAAATTAATCGCCAACAGATAGTGTAAACTAGTGTTTTAGTAAACTCCTTTATGTGATATCCATCCACCAAGGTTTTCATTTAAAAGAATGTTTAGTGCTAGTTATAGTTTAAAAAACAAATTAAGACTTATGATTACAAGTAAAGGGGATAAAAAGTGTATTTGAATTTCCATACACATTTTGACTAATTGATTTAAAATTGCAAATAAGTCATGGAATAGGAGTTTAAATTTACTTGATAGGTAGTTGGACACCGCATCTTTCAGTTATAAATAAACCTTTAGAGTATGACAAAGCAAATAACTTTAGTTTAAATTTTAAGTATAAAATACCCCCGCCACAGCAAACCTGCCGACTAAGCGAATTTCCATTTGTCTGAATTGATTTTCAGTTAAATATATTCTAATAACATTAGGTTTAAGGAGTACCTAGGTTTGCTGCTACAAGGAAACTAATAAAGTGTGTTTTTGAGTAAAATATTGATAGCTTAGTACAGAATAAATAAATTTGCGAAGTTTGATCAAAATATATCCATAAACAAGCAAACTACAACATTTGACAATATTCTCCATAAGAATAACATGGGCATTTTTAATTTACAATTTTCTCCGTTGCTAATAATCGAACAAAAATACTTTTACGTACTAAATTATTTGTTTTTTTAAGCTCTTTAAAAAGGTCTAAAGAGAAATCGGGAAATTTTGTGTTTTGAGGGTCAAAAGTGAGAAAAATCAATTTTTACCCCATAAAACGTAAAGCCCCGTTCCCATGGTCCGATCGTGCTGGTTCGTGAACTCATTCAAGTTTATCCCGCTTTAAACCAAATTTCATCAAAATCGGACAAAAATTACTCAAGTTATCGCGTTCATGGACGTATATATATATAAAAATTTTAACGAATGGTGTTTTTGGCCTATGGGGACATCAAAATGAAAAAGTAAATTGGTCCCGGGTCTAGGTCTTACCGTGCCACCTACGGTAATAGCTACTTCCCTATAGGGAAATTCGCTGAAATCAATTTATTCTTGTTAGGTTGGCCCCAGAAGTCTTATAACATGAGAAACACCAACCTTGAATGTCCTGTTCGAGTCGCTGAATGTCGTCCTCACGAGGCTCAGAGACAGACAGTTGTCCCTCAACTCCCAACATCCAGTCAACTAGACGGTTGTGCGAGTTGTAGAACTGCTGTACTAGGGGCAACGCCTCCTACAACAAAAAAACAACAATGGTTAGTAAAACAAGACGTAGAACTGCTTTGAAGTTAAGATGTGATTTTGCTTTCAGCTATCCTCTGGAAAAGTTCTTCACTAAACAAGCAAAATAATGTGTCGTGGAAGTACAGGGAGCGGCCTTTTCATCGACCGCGACAACCCCTATCTCGGTGCAAGTACTGATGGCCTGAAGACAGTTTACTGCAAAAAAAAAAACTATACTAAAAGTAATCTATAATGCTTGCTCTTGCAGGCCACTCTGCGGGATCTGCAGGACAGTCTGCAGGCGCAGGAGCCTCCGGCAGTACGTCCCGAGGAGATACAACAACAGCAAGAGGCACTGCAGGAGATCAGGGCGGAGATTGACCAGGTGAGGAGACGTTAGTTTTTACGCTTTTTTTTAGCGAATTTCCCTATAGGGAAGTAGCTATTACCGTAGGTGGCATGGTAAGACCTAGGCCCGGGACCGATTTACTTTTTCATTTTGATGTTCCCAGAGGCCAAAAACACCATTCGTTCAAATTTGTATATATTACTAAGCAAATCAAAATACCACAGTACCCTAAAAAAATTTTTTTAAGGTCAAAAATTTGGATTTAGCATCTCGGTACTATTACAAACAACATAAAAAAAAGAAACCTACTACCCCATTTCATGCAAGGTAAAATGTGTTAGATTACTGGATTAATGCTTGTTTTGGAAAATTCAGTAACTCCCAATTAATATGTGTTGTTTAAAATACAATTTAGAAATTAACAGCTGTTTCATTAAAAAGTACTATCCACATGGCCAAAATGTAAACAAATCTGTAGAGGGATCTTTAAAGACTTCTGGGGCAGAGCCCTAAGGGAATTTACTTCGTTTGTCTTTTGATAACTCATCTACAGACCAAGACCTTTCTTTTGACACCCCTACCAAGTTTCTACGCCCAGCCGTTCTCTCAAATTAGTGGAGACAAAGTTTACAATTAAATTTTTATATTTCTTCATGTTAATCTTATGGGAGAAAATCCAACTTTGATGGGAGATTCTGCCCAAACTAATAAAGATATCAAAAAACGAAAAACACTTTGCAAAACTACAGATCAGGGCAATCTGTTCAACAGGACAATCAAAAACAACCAACCTCCATGGAGATATTAATTGATTCACATGAACTAGGGTTATTGGAGGAACAGTGATTCTTAACTAAATTTTTTACATTTAAAATTGGACTTGAATTTCCATCACAATTTCTCTGCTTTAGCGCTTCACTAGAAGTGAGAGCGCCCGACACTATTTTAACACTTTCACAGACTGATGGAAAATTCTATTTTTGAATCATCATGCATTGAGATTTTTACTTTAAAAATTATTGTAATTTCAATATACAGGACTCCTTATGTAACTAATTTTAAGTCTTTTCTCAATAAGTTAGAAAGGTTATTTATAATGCTCAATAAAACAACAAAAATAAGAAATGTATACATAGCTGGGGATTTTAATATTGATCTGTTGGAGGACTGTAGCCATCCAAATCAAAAACAAGATTTTATTTCTCTGTTAAATCAATATGGGTTTAAAATTAACTTTACATCACCGACTCGAATTACACAACACACTGAATCCTGCATAGATAATATCTTAACTAGAAAAATAAATTCACAATATTCAGTCCAGACAATGAATTTAGAACTGGGTCTTTCAGATCATAGGGCTTTGTTTATAAACATTTTTGATAGCTCATTTGAGGATAATAAGGACAGAACAGATAAAACAACTAAAAAAAGAATGTTTTCAAAAGCCAATGTCACAAGTTTTGTAAATAATATTAAAGAAATAAAATGGGATGTATCTGTAAAAAAATGTTTTGAAGAAAATTGTATTAACTTTTTTTGCCATTTTCACAATACTTTTGAAGAGTCTTTTCCCTTAAAGTTTTACAACAACAAAAATAAGAATCAAAAGAAGTCTTGGGTAACAAAGGGTATTAAAATATCTAGTATAAATAAACGAGAACTAAGTAAACTGGCAAAAAAATCAAACGACGGACTCTTTAAGGATTATGTTAGAAAGTATAAAACAATTTTCAAGAAAGTTTGTAATCAATCTAAAAGGATGTGCAATGCTAAATTCATAAACAAATCAGAAAATGTGAGCAAGGCTGCGTGGTGTGTTGTTAAATCAGAGCTAGGTTGTAAAAAAGTCAAGAATAGTTTACCTGATATTAAACTCTCAAATAAAACCATTAGCGACGTAAAAGAAATAGCTGAATTCTTTAATAAAAAATTTACCAATATAACCAAGGAAATGGGAACATCACCATGTGAATTTGAGGCACTAAATATGACAAGGAACTTAATGACTAGTAAACAACTATTTAATTTTGATTTTAAAGCCATTGAGCAAAAAGATGTAGTCAAAGTAATCAAATCACTTAAAAATAAAAAATCTGCGGGATGGGATGAAATTTCGGTGGATCTCATGAAAAAAGTCATAGACTCTATTTCAGAACCTCTCACAATTATTATTAACCAATCATTTCAAAACAACATATTTCCTAAACAATTTAAATATGGAGAACTCAAGCCACTTTTTAAGAAAGGTGAAAAGCATAATCCTGACAATTATAGGCCTGTATCACTTTTACCTTCTTTTTCCAAGATTTTTGAAAAAATTGCTTATAAACAAATTTATAATTTCTTGGAAACATACAATATATTTAGTAGTAAACAGTTTGGTTTTAGAAAGGGTTGCAGCACAATGACCGCTATATCCCATTTTGTTAATGAAGTGTCATGGGCCTTGGATGAGTCACAGAGTACAATGGGGGTGTTTTGTGATTTGTCCAAGGCTTTTGATTGTGTCAACCATGACATTCTTTTGAAAAAACTGGAAATTTATGGATTTTCTAAGAAATCTATTTTATGGTTGAAATCTTATATAACAGGTAGATTTCAAAGAACTGTTATTTTAAAAGGAGGCTTGCAGTCAAAATCTGAATGGAGTGAAATTAGAGTAGGTGTCCCACAGGGCTCTATTTTAGGTCCTCTTCTTTTCTTAATTTATATAAATGACTTACCTGAAAATATTTCTCATAATTTAATACTGTATGCAGATGACACAACTGCTGTTGTTAAAGCTAAAACGGAGGATGATTTATGGGTGAAAGTAGAAGACGCTTTAATGAATCTTAGAAGGTGGTTTGAAATAAACGGACTAAAATTAAATCCAGAAAAAACACAACTAGTAAAATTTAATACGATACAATCCCGAAATTTCACACATAAAACAAGAACCAAAACTGTCAAATGTACAAAATTTTTAGGTTTGTATGTTGATTCAAATTTAACCTGGGCCAAGTGCATTGAAAACATATTACATAAGCTTAATTCTGCCTGTTTCCAAATGCTTTGTTTGAGAAATATTTTGGATATGAGAACACGTTTAATGATATATTATGCCTATTTTTATTCCATATTGCATTATGGGATTGAATTTTGGGGATTCTCATCAGAAATAGAAAAGATTTTTAAAGTTCAGAAAAAATACTTAAGAATAATGACATTTGCTAAACGAAAACAATCATGTAGACCAATTTTTAAAGAACTTAATATAATGACTGTACCAAGTTTAATCATTTTTAAATCCTTATTAATGGTACAGTCAAATTTTGAAAACTTATGTGCGGAGAATTTTGACCATCCATATAACACCCGTTTCAAAAAGAATTTTCAGTTTCCGATTCACCGATTAAAATTAATAGAAAAAACACCAAAATATATGGGAAAGAAATTGTTTAATAAACTGCAACCAAAATATAAAGATTTAATAAACAAAACGTCTTTTAAAAGCAGCCTTGCCTCATTTCTTGTAAACAAAATATATTATAGTATTGACGAATTTTTGAATGATGGTAATTTTTTAAATTAGCAAATATTATGTTTTATAAAATAACCCAAATAATTATTTGTAAGAATCATTGTTTATTTTTTAGTATTTTAGGTACTTATGATATATGATTATATTGACAATGTCACCTGTTTTTGTAGCTTATGCTATGTAATCTGTAAAACGTTTATGTGACAATAAAGATATATTTATTTATTTATTTCTTTTGACACTTTAATCATCATAATCGGTCCAAAAATGAGGGAGGAGTTTTGTTCACAAAAATCGGCTTAGCGTATTATATATATACAGCGGAAACCATGCTGTGAACTAGTGAACACTCTCATTACTACTTATAACAAACTGCAAAAAAAAACTATACTAAAAGTCATTTGATTTGCTTAGTAACATTTAAAGTAGCCCTCATTGATGTGTACAATAACAAAAAAAAAAGATTTATATATATATATATATATGTGTCCGTGAACGCGATAACTTGAGTAATTTCTGTCTGATTTTGATGAAATTTGGTTTAAAGGTGTAAAGCGGGATAAACTTAAATGAGTTCGCGAACCAGCATGATCGGACTATGGAAACGGGGGTTTATGGGGGGTTTTATGGGGTAAAAATAGGTTTTTCCCATTTTTGACCCTGAAAACAGAAAATTTCACAATTTATTTCTAAACCATTTTGTAGAGCTTAAAAAAACAAATAATTTTGTATATTGAAGCGTTATTATGCGCCTAAAGGTTACGGAGAAAATTGAAAAAAATTGTAATTTTAAAACTCCCATGTTATTCTTATGGAGAATAAGTCAACTGTTGTAGTATGCTTGTTTATGAACATGTTTTGATCAAATTTGGAAAATACATTAATTTCTTACTAAACTAGAGTACCTTTTAACATTTTACATTAAAAAACACTTTTTACCCTCCCTGTTGTAGCAAACCTAAGTAGTCGTTAAACTAATTCTATTTAAATAGGCAATAAATGTGATATTTTTAATGATACATTTTAGTGTAAATCGAATCAGGTAATTGAAAATTCGCTTAGTCTGCAGGTTCGCTGCGGCGGGGGTATTTTTTTTATTAATGAGAGCCCCCTTGGGTTGCCTCTGATCTCTATTTTTAAAACAATGGCTGAAACATGGGTTATGTCAAGCAATCCTTGACATGTAGCAATATCTAGTAAACTTAATACTTATATTTCAGTAGTTAGCCGATTTTTAAGCTTTTTGGAGGTGATCCGGAAGGTCGCCGAGGTCGAAAATTTTGATTTAGCATCTCGGTACTATTACAAACAACATAAAAAAAAGAAACCTACTACCCCATTTCATGCAAGGTAAAATGCGTAAGATAACTGGATTAAAGCGTTGTTTTGGAAAATTCAGTAACTCCCAATTAATGTGTGTTGTTTAAAATACAATTTAGAAATTAACAGCTTTTTCATTAAAAAGTACTATCCACATGGCCAAAATGTAAACAAATGTGTAGAGGGATCTTTAAAGACTTCTGGGGCAGAGCCCTAAGGGAATTTACTTAGTTTGTCTTTTGATAACTCATCTACAGACCAAGACCTTTCTTTTGACACCCCTACCAAGTTTCTACGCCCAGCCGTTCTCTCAAATTAGTGGAGACAAAGTTTACAATTAAATTTTTATATTCCTTCATGTTAATCTTATGGGAGAAAATCCAACTTTGATGGGAGATTCTGCCCAAACTAATAAAGATATCAAAAAACGAAAAACACTTTGCAAAACTACAGATCAGGGCAATCTTTTGACAATTTAATCATTATAATCGGTCCAAAAATGAGGGAGGAGTTCTGTTCACAAAAATCGGCTTAGCGTATTATATATATACAGCGGAACCCATGCTGTGAACTAGTGAACACTCTCATTACTACTTATAACAAACTGCAAAAAAAAACTACAGTATACTAAAAGTCATTTATAATGCTTGCTCTTGCAGGCCACTCTGCGGGATCTGCAGGACAGTCTGCAGGCGCAGGAGCCCCCGGCAGTACGTCCCGAGGAGATACAACAACAGCAAGAGGCACTGCAGGAGATCAGGGCGGAGATTGACCAGGTGAGGAGACGTTAGTTTTTACGTTTTGTTTTTTTTTATTGATGAGAGCCCCCTTGGGTTGCCTCTGATCTCTATTTTTAAAACAATGGCTGAAACATTGGTTAAGTCAAGCAATCCTTGACATGTAGCAATATCTAGTAAACTTACTACTTATATTTCAGTTGTTAGCTGATTTTTAAGCTTTTTGGAGGTGATCCGGAAGGTCGCCGAGGTCAAAAATTTGGATTTAGCATCTCGGTACTATTACAAACAACATAAAAAAAAGAAACCTACTACCCCATTTCATGCAAGGTAAAATGTGTTAGATTACTGGATTAATGCTTGTTTTGGAAAATTCAGTAACTCCCAATTAATATGTGTTGTTTAAAATATAATTTAGAAATTAACAGCTGTTTCATTAAAAAGTACTATCCACATGGCCAAAATGTAAACAAATCTGTAGAGGGATCTTTAAAGACTTCTGGGGCAGAGCCCTAAGGGAATTTACTTTGTTTGTCTTTTGATAACTCATCTACAGACCAAGACCTTTTGATACCCCTACCAAGTTTCTACACCCAGCTGTTCTCTCAAATTAGTGGAGACAAAGTTTACAATTAAATTTTTATATTCCTTCATGTTAATCTTATGGGAGAAAATCCAACTTTGATGGGAGATTCTGCCCAAACTAATAAAGATATCAAAAAACGAAAAACACTTTGCAAAAATACAGATCAGGGCAATCTTTTGACAATTTAATCATTATAATCGGTCCAAAAATGAGGGAGGAGTTCTGTTCACAAAAATCGGCTTAGCGTATTATATATATACAGCGGAACCCATGCTGTGAACTAGTGAACACTCTCATTACTACTTATAACAAACTGCAAAAAAAAACTATACTAAAAGTCATTTATAATGCTTGCTCTTGCAGGCCACTCTGCGGGATCTGCAGGACAGTCTGCAGGCGCAGGAGCCTCCGGCAGTACGTCCCGAGGAGATACAACAACAGCAAGAGGCGCTGCAGGAGATCAGGGCGGAGATTGACCAGGTGAGGAGACGTTAGTTTTTACGTTTTTTTTTTTTTTTTTTATTGATGAGAGCCCCCTTGGGTTGCCTCTGATCTCTATTTTTAAAACAATGGCTGAAACATGGGTTATGTCAAGCAATCCTTGACATGTAGCAATATCTAGTAAACTTACTACTTATATTTCAGTAGTTATGTATGAATTCTTTGACGTATAAGAGCTTTAATATTTAACTACATTGATACCAAATATCAAGAAAATCTTTTGAAAAACCATGTCCAAAACGGGGAACGAAATTAACATGTTTTGTCGGATGCTACTGTGCTACCAGCCTTTTACAAAACTTGGCTCAGGCGACAGATGAATTACCGACATGTCGATTTAGTAGTCATGTGTTTACGATGTTTTTAGAATGGTGCGCATAATGACCCCGCGCTACCCGCCCGTCTTCAAAAACCTTCTCCCAAGGCCATGTCTCCAAAACGCAACTACATCGGGGGTGAAGAAGACTCTTAAACCATTCATGATAAAACTAGACAGTCAAATGTGGTGTTTCTCCTTACAATATGCTAGACCCACTGATGTAATCGATAATGCAAAAAGACAAAACATTGTAAATAATAAAAATAGTCTTTGGGATGCAACAAACCAGAGGCCTAAACATTTTTTGTCATCAGGGAAGTGGTGGTACATTATCTAAGTTATGTCTTCACCTTACAGTAAAATATATCATTGATTTGTTGTTAAAGTTTTTTTTATTGTTGTAAAACTACAGATCAGGGCAATCTGTTCAACAGGACAATCAAAAACAACCAACCTCCATGGAGATATTAATTGATTCACATGAACTAGGGTTATTGGAGGAACAGTGATTCTTAACTAAATTTTTTACATTTAAAATTGGACTTGAATTTCCATCACAATTTCTCTGCTTTAGCGCTTCACTAGAAGTGAGAGCGCCCGACACTATTTTAACACTTTCACAGACTGATGGAAAATTCTATTTTTGAATCATCATGCATTGAGATTTTTACTTTAAAAATTATTGTAATTTCAATATACAGGACTCCTTATGTAACTAATTTTAAGTCTTTTCTCAATAAGTTAGAAAGGTTATTTATAATGCTCAATAAAACAACAAAAATAAGAAATGTATACATAGCTGGGGATTTTAATATTGATCTGTTGGAGGACTGTAGCCATCCAAATCAAAAACAAGATTTTATTTCTCTGTTAAATCAATATGGGTTTAAAATTAACTTTACATCACCGACTCGAATTACACAACACACTGAATCCTGCATAGATAATATCTTAACTAGAAAAATAAATTCACAATATTCAGTCCAGACAATGAATTTAGAACTGGGTCTTTCAGATCATAGGGCTTTGTTTATAAACATTTTTGATAGCTCATTTGAGGATAATAAGGACAGAACAGATAAAACAACTAAAAAAAGAATGTTTTCAAAAGCCAATGTCACAAGTTTTGTAAATAATATTAAAGAAATAAAATGGGATGTATCTGTAAAAAAATGTTTTGAAGAAAATTGTATTAACTTTTTTTGCCATTTTCACAATACTTTTGAAGAGTCTTTTCCCTTAAAGTTTTACAACAACAAAAATAAGAATCAAAAGAAGTCTTGGGTAACAAAGGGTATTAAAATATCTGGTATAAATAAACGAGAACTAAGTAAACTGGCAAAAAAATCAAACGACGGACTCTTTAAGGATTATGTTAGAAAGTATAAAACAATTTTCAAGAAAGTTTGTAATCAATCTAAAAGGATGTGCAATGCTAAATTCATAAACAAATCAGAAAATGTGAGCAAGGCTGCGTGGTGTGTTGTTAAATCAGAGCTAGGTTGTAAAAAAGTCAAGAATAGTTTACCTGATATTAAACTCTCAAATAAAACCATTAGCGACGTAAAAGAAATAGCTGAATTCTTTAATAAAAAATTTACCAATATAACCAAGGAAATGGGAACATCACCATGTGAATTTGAGGCACTAAATATGACAAGGAACTTAATGACTAGTAAACAACTATTTAATTTTGATTTTAAAGCCATTGAGCAAAAAGATGTAGTCAAAGTAATCAAATCACTTAAAAATAAAAAATCTGCGGGATGGGATGAAATTTCGGTGGATCTCATGAAAAAAGTCATAGACTCTATTTCAGAACCTCTCACAATTATTATTAACCAATCATTTCAAAACAACATATTTCCTAAACAATTTAAATATGGAGAACTCAAGCCACTTTTTAAGAAAGGTGAAAAGCATAATCCTGACAATTATAGGCCTGTATCACTTTTACCTTCTTTTTCCAAGATTTTTGAAAAAATTGCTTATAAACAAATTTATAATTTCTTGGAAACATACAATATATTTAGTAGTAAACAGTTTGGTTTTAGAAAGGGTTGCAGCACAATGACCGCTATATCCCATTTTGTTAATGAAGTGTCATGGGCCTTGGATGAGTCACAGAGTACAATGGGGGTGTTTTGTGATTTGTCCAAGGCTTTTGATTGTGTCAACCATGACATTCTTTTGAAAAAACTGGAAATTTATGGATTTTCTAAGAAATCTATTTTATGGTTGAAATCTTATATAACAGGTAGATTTCAAAGAACTGTTATTTTAAAAGGAGGCTTGCAGTCAAAATCTGAATGGAGTGAAATTAGAGTAGGTGTCCCACAGGGCTCTATTTTAGGTCCTCTTCTTTTCTTAATTTATATAAATGACTTACCTGAAAATATTTCTCATAATTTAATACTGTATGCAGATGACACAACTGCTGTTGTTAAAGCTAAAACGGAGGATGATTTATGGGTGAAAGTAGAAGACGCTTTAATGAATCTTAGAAGGTGGTTTGAAATAAACGGACTAAAATTAAATCCAGAAAAAACACAACTAGTAAAATTTAATACGATACAATCCCGAAATTTCACACATAAAACAAGAACCAAAACTGTCAAATGTACAAAATTTTTAGGTTTGTATGTTGATTCAAATTTAACCTGGGCCAAGTGCATTGAAAACATATTACATAAGCTTAATTCTGCCTGTTTCCAAATGCTTTGTTTGAGAAATATTTTGGATATGAGAACACGTTTAATGATATATTATGCCTATTTTTATTCCATATTGCATTATGGGATTGAATTTTGGGGATTCTCATCAGAAATAGAAAAGATTTTTAAAGTTCAGAAAAAATACTTAAGAATAATGACATTTGCTAAACGAAAACAATCATGTAGACCAATTTTTAAAGAACTTAATATAATGACTGTACCAAGTTTAATCATTTTTAAATCCTTATTAATGGTACAGTCAAATTTTGAAAACTTATGTGCGGAGAATTTTGACCATCCATATAACACCCGTTTCAAAAAGAATTTTCAGTTTCCGATTCACCGATTAAAATTAATAGAAAAAACACCAAAATATATGGGAAAGAAATTGTTTAATAAACTGCAACCAAAATATAAAGATTTAATAAACAAAACGTCTTTTAAAAGCAGCCTTGCCTCATTTCTTGTAAACAAAATATATTATAGTATTGACGAATTTTTGAATGATGGTAATTTTTTAAATTAGCAAATATTATGTTTTATAAAATAACCCAAATAATTATTTGTAAGAATCATTGTTTATTTTTTAGTATTTTAGGTACTTATGATATATGATTATATTGACAATGTCACCTGTTTTTGTAGCTTATGCTATGTAATCTGTAAAACGTTTATGTGACAATAAAGATATATTTATTTATTTATTTCTTTTGACACTTTAATCATCATAATCGGTCCAAAAATGAGGGAGGAGTTTTGTTCACAAAAATCGGCTTAGCGTATTATATATATACAGCGGAAACCATGCTGTGAACTAGTGAACACTCTCATTACTACTTATAACAAACTGCAAAAAAAAACTATACTAAAAGTCATTTGATTTGCTTAGTAACATTTAAAGTAGCCCTCATTGATGTGTACAATAACAAAAAAAAAAAGATTTATATATATATATATATGTGTCCGTGAACGCGATAACTTGAGTAATTTCTGTCTGATTTTGATGAAATTTGGTTTAAAGGTGTAAAGCGGGATAAACTTAAATGAGTTCGCGAACCAGCATGATTGGACTATGGGAACGGGGGTTTATGGGGGGTTTTATGGGGTAAAAATAGGTTTTTCCCATTTTTGACCCTGAAAACAGAAAATTTCACAATTTATTTCTAAACCATTTTGTAGAGCTTAAAAAAACAAATAATTTTGTATATTGAAGCGTTATTATGCGCCTAAAGGTTACGGAGAAAATTGAAAAAAATTGTAATTTTAAAACTCCCATGTTATTCTTATGGAGAATAAGTCAACTGTTGTAGTATGCTTGTTTATGAACATGTTTTGATCAAATTTGGAAAATACATTAATTTCTTACTAAACTAGAGTACCTTTTAACATTTTACATTAAAAAACACTTTTTACCCTCCCTGTTGTAGCAAACCTAAGTAGTCGTTAAACTAATTCTATTTAAATAGGCAATAAATGTGATATTTTTAATGATACATTTTAGTGTAAATCGAATCAGGTAATTGAAAATTCGCTTAGTCTGCAGGTTCGCTGCGGCGGGGGTATTTTTTTTATTAATGAGAGCCCCCTTGGGTTGCCTCTGATCTCTATTTTTAAAACAATGGCTGAAACATGGGTTATGTCAAGCAATCCTTGACATGTAGCAATATCTAGTAAACTTAATACTTATATTTCAGTAGTTAGCCGATTTTTAAGCTTTTTGGAGGTGATCCGGAAGGTCGCCGAGGTCGAAAATTTTGATTTAGCATCTCGGTACTATTACAAACAACATAAAAAAAAGAAACCTACTACCCCATTTCATGCAAGGTAAAATGCGTAAGATAACTGGATTAAAGCGTTGTTTTGGAAAATTCAGTAACTCCCAATTAATGTGTGTTGTTTAAAATACAATTTAGAAATTAACAGCTTTTTCATTAAAAAGTACTATCCACATGGCCAAAATGTAAACAAATGTGTAGAGGGATCTTTAAAGACTTCTGGGGCAGAGCCCTAAGGGAATTTACTTAGTTTGTCTTTTGATAACTCATCTACAGACCAAGACCTTTCTTTTGACACCCCTACCAAGTTTCTACGCCCAGCCGTTCTCTCAAATTAGTGGAGACAAAGTTTACAATTAAATTTTTATATTCCTTCATGTTAATCTTATGGGAGAAAATCCAACTTTGATGGGAGATTCTGCCCAAACTAATAAAGATATCAAAAAACGAAAAACACTTTGCAAAACTACAGATCAGGGCAATCTTTTGACAATTTAATCATTATAATCGGTCCAAAAATGAGGGAGGAGTTCTGTTCACAAAAATCGGCTTAGCGTATTATATATATACAGCGGAACCCATGCTGTGAACTAGTGAACACTCTCATTACTACTTATAACAAAACTGCAAAAAAAAACTACAGTATACTAAAAGTCATTTATAATGCTTGCTCTTGCAGGCCACTCTGCGGGATCTGCAGGACAGTCTGCAGGCGCAGGAGCCTCCGGCAGTACGTCCCGAGGAGATACAACAACAGCAAGAGGCACTGCAGGAGATCAGGGCGGAGATTGACCAGGTGAGGAGACGTTAGTTTTTACGTTTTGTTTTTTTTTATTGATGAGAGCCCCCTTGGGTTGCCTCTGATCTCTATTTTTAAAACAATGGCTGAAACATTGGTTAAGTCAAGCAATCCTTGACATGTAGCAATATCTAGTAAACTTACTACTTATATTTCAGTTGTTAGCTGATTTTTAAGCTTTTTGGAGGTGATCCGGAAGGTCGCCGAGGTCAAAAATTTGGATTTAGCATCTCGGTACTATTACAAACAACATAAAAAAAAGAAACCTACTACCCCATTTCATGCAAGGTAAAATGTGTTAGATTACTGGATTAATGCTTGTTTTGGAAAATTCAGTAACTCCCAATTAATATGTGTTGTTTAAAATACAATTTAGAAATTAACAGCTGTTTCATTAAAAAGTACTATCCACATGGCCAAAATGTAAACAAATCTGTAGAGAGATCTTTAAAGACTTCTGGGGCAGAGCCCTAAGGGAATTTACTTCGTTTGTCTTTTGATAACTCATCTACAGACCAAGACCTTTCTTTTGACACCCCTACCAAGTTTCTACGCCCAGCCGTTCTCTCAAATTAGTGGAGACAAAGTTTACAATTAAATTTTTATATTTCTTCATGTTAATCTTATGGGAGAAAATCCAACTTTGATGGGAGATTCTGCCCAAACTAATAAAGATATCAAAAAACGAAAAACACTTTGCAAAACTACAGATCAGGGCAATCTTTTGACACTTTAATCATCATAATCGGTCCAAAAATGAGGGAGGAGTTTTGTTCACAAAAATCTGCTTAGCGTATTATATATATACAGCGGAAACCATGCTGTGAACTAGTGAACACTCTCATTACTACTTATAACAAACTGCAAAAAAAAACTATACTAAAAGTCATTTATAATGCTTGCTCTTGCAGGCCACTCTGCGGGATCTGCAGGACAGTCTGCAGGTGCAGGAGCCCCAGGCAGTACGTCCCGAGGAGATACAACAACAGCAAGAGGCACTGCAGGAGATCAGGGCGGAGATTGACCAGGTGAGGAGACGTTAGTTTTTACGTTTTGTTTTTTTTTATTGATGAGAGCCCCCTTGGGTTGCCTCTGATCTCTATTTTTAAAACAATGGCTGAAACATGGGTTATGTCAAGCAATCCTTGACATGTAGCAATATCTAGTAAACTTACTACTTATATTTCAGTAGTTATGTATGAATTCTTTGACGTATAAGAGCTTTAATATTTAACTACATTGATACCAAATATCAAGAAAATCTTTTGAAAAACCATGTCCAAAACGGGGAACGAAATTAACATGTTTTGTCGGATGCTACTGTGCTACCAGCCTTTTACAAAACTTGGCTCAGGCGACAGATGAATTACCGACATGTCGATTTAGTAGTCATGTGTTTACGATGTTTTTAGAATGGTGCGCATAATGACCCCGCGCTACCCGCCCGTCTTCAAAAACCTTCTCCCAAGGCCATGTCTCCAAAACGCAACTACATCGGGGGTGAAGAAGACTCTTAAACCATTCATGATAAAACTAGACAGTCAAATGTGGTGTTTCTCCTTACAATATGCTAGACCCACTGATGTAATCGATAATGCAAAAAGACAAAACATTGTAAATAATAAAAATAGTCTTTGGGATGCAACAAACCAGAGGCCTAAACATTTTTTGTCATCAGGGAAGTGGTGGTACATTATCTAAGTTATGTCTTCACCTTACAGTAAAATATATCATTGATTTGTTGTTAAAGTTTTGTGTACTTAATTTTATGTCCAAGTAAAGATTAAATTTCATTGGGACAATACAGACAGGGTTGGGTAAAACAAAACACTGTACAATTTAAATTTGATTCAGCTCAACAACATAATGTTAACTTTAAAATGATTATAACTCTAGTAACACTACAATATGCTATATATACTTTCAAGTATCCGTACACAATCTATAAAATCTATTCAATTACAGTTTTGTATATTTGAATTCCCCCATGAACTATGAAATAATGTATAATCCTAATGAATATAACCAGGGTGTCCAGGGAAAGTCAGGGATAGTCATGGAAAGTCATGGAAAGTCATAGAAAATAATTCTTTAAAGTCATTGAAATAGGCTAAAAGACATGGAATGTCATGGAAATCCCCAATGATGGATGGATTTGACGTGACTTTTCAATGCTCTTGTTGTCAGTTACCCTGACTATTGTAGGATTTTTCACAAATGTACGACAATTCAATTTATTACAGTTGTATTATTTTATGAGTTTTGAGTTTGTAGTTCAATACAATCTGTCCCTACTTTATCTTATAATTAAATTTAATATTTCTTCTAGGATATTGTTGCAACATTATAGTGTATATTAAAATGTTACAACTTTATTATTACAACTCAAATTGCAATACAGTACGAATATTGTTATGATATTTTGAGTTGTCTTAGTTCGTGAGAAGTTCATGAGTCATGGAAATCAATGGTAAATGGTCATGGATAATAATAGAAAGTCATGGAAATTAATGAGAAATTTTCTGTGGACACCCTGATAACAATACTCTTCAATGCTAGGGACGTTACCTACCGTTTGTTACAGTTCTTGTTTGGACCGTAAAATTATATTTTACTCACAACCTTCTTCCTTCTAAGTACCAAAGGTTATATGTAAGAGATAAAGGGCATAATTTAAAATTCCTGAAGAGGAATAGGACGAAGCAGGCATGTTTTGGCTAATACTCTTGATTTTCTCTTCTAAGGCTGAGTATATAGGAGAGAGATCTTTCCGCAGTGCATCATTTGTTCCTGCAATGAGGACAATTACATCATCATTGGACTTTGAAAGCCGCGCTGTTTCTGCCACTTGATTAATGCATGCATTCGGCATAACTGTTCCAACAGCAGTGATCTCATCCTGATTAATTTGGTTAAGTTTGTAGCCTACATTTCTACTTTGGCTATCACCATATACAGTCACTTTAATTTTATTTGTAAACACCTCTTCAACTTTATCTTTGTTATGTTGAGGTTTTTTATCTGAGGTTTTTTACTTAGGCCAACATACTGATTATTTGCCTTTGATAGACTGGGAACATTTTGAGACAAGGTATCGAATTTGTTATTGGTTACAATGGGACTGGATCTAATAAAAACTTTAGACTTAAATGTTTTTTTGTCTTTTTTCTTTTGTCCATTTTTGTGTGTTTAGGTTGACATTCTCAGGATTAGGTGCTACAACGTGTGGTGGTACATGGTTTGCGTTAGGGTTTTGCTGGGTCAAGTTACTCTTTATTTCCTTTTTTAATATTACCTTATTACCTTGTTACCTCCTCTTCATAGATGACCAGCCTAGGCTGGATTGATAGCGTCAAATAAAAAAATAAAAACTAATTTAGATATATATATGTACATTTAAAACTGTGTGGTGGTGGTGTACAGCTAGTTCATCGCGCCAGCATACTTGAAGAACTCCGTTGTTGAGTAGAAAGGGTTCTCCAATAAAAATTGTTTGATTTTATTTGTGAACACTTTTGTGTCAAGTTCTGTTATTTTACCAGGCAGAGCATTGTACATCCTGACAGCTGTGGCAGGGAAACTGTCTCTTGTCATAGTTAGTCTATAGCGATCTGTATTTAATTTATGGGCACTTCGGACATTATGGTCGTGCATGTCACCCCTTGTTTCATGAGAGTTCAAATTTCCTTTGACGTGCAGAAGGCAATTTTAGGTGAACTGATTGAAAACAGTAAAAACATTCAGCATTTTGAAAAGTGGTCTGCAATGTTCCCGTCTTTCGCTGCTTGTAATTATTCTTAGGGCTTGTTTTTGCAGTTTGAGGGGTTGATGAGACTGTGAAATAAGGAGAAATAGACCATCAGAAGATATTGTTTAGTGATCTGGTGCTTAAGTTTTCTTAAGAGGAAATTGACTCTACTCAGCCTGACTCTACTCAGCCTAAGACACACTGTGTCAGTATGACAGTCCCATTGAAGTTTTGGGTCCAGGATAAAACCGAGGAGTTTGACTGGAATATCTTGAGATGGAGATGATTTACTGATGTGCACAGGAGCTTTTGCGTTTTATCTTCGTTTAACCTGAGGCCATTAAGTGAGAACCAATTTCTTGCAACTTCAAACAGCTGGTCAGATTTGGTTATTGCTTCGTTGGGGCACTGTCCCTTGCCGTACAAGGTTGTGTCATCCGCATAGAGTAGGGTATCCCTTTCTCGTCCAAAGTCATTCATTAGGATTATAAATATGATGGGCCCTAATATAGAGCCTTGCGGCACTCCATGGTCCATCGCAACTGGAGCGGAGAACGCTCCATCAACTGACACGATCTGGTAACTATTTTCAAAATACGAGTGAAAAGTCGTGAGCACTGTCCCTCCAACTCCGTAACGTTTAAGTTTTTCCAACAAAATGTCATGAGACACCACGTCGAAAGCCTTCGACAAGTCACAAAGGACCAGTGCCATAGACTGCCTATCCTCAAAGGCCTTTAACGTTTCTGTCACCAGGGAAGTAAGAGCAGTAGTGGTAGATCTGCCTTTGCGTTCCCCATGCTGTGAACTAGTGAAGTAATGGTTTGTCTCAAAGAATGCTATTATCTGATTTTGCATGATTTTCTCAACAATTATGGCTACTATGGGTATAATTGATATGGGTCGATAACTTGAGGCAAGGTTTGTGTCGCCTTTTTTGAAGATAGGGATAGTTCTTGAAATTTTCAAATATTCATAATAAGTATAATCAAATAAGTAAAGTTATGTAGTTTGCTTGTTTAGACATGTATTAGAAAAAAAGTTATATAAATTTATAAGCAAAATTGAAGCATATTCATGAAAATTTTAAGAGTAGCCTACTCTAAATAATAGGCCTACGTAAGTATTTGAGTACTTACAGTATTTTGTAGAGTAAAAAAAAAATAATCTAGTGTATATATATATGAAGTGTTTTTCTGCGGTTATTGGTTACATAGAAAATTTTATAATTGTAAATTTCAAAATCGCAGAATAAGTAATCTGTTGTAGCTTGGTTTTAGTTGATCAAACATTGCAAATTTTATTATTTTATATTAAGCTATTAACATTTTCCTAAAAGATAAACTAAAAAAAAATAATTGACCACCCTGTACTAGAAAATCAAATATAATTTTATATAAATAGGGATAAACTGGACACGTAGAAGAAAGCATGTTTAAGTAAAAACCAATCAGGCAGATGGAAATTTGCTTAGTCTGCAGGTTTGCTGCGGCGGGGGTATTTAAGTAATTGTGGAGGTTATCATTGTGTGAAGGAAAGGTATATCTTTTAATACTTACAAAAAAAATCTTTGTCAATTTTAAAAATTTTTGACATGACACTCTTTTATCTAATTTTCCTATAGGGAAGTAGCTATTACCGTAGGTTGCACTTAGTTCCGGGACCGATTTACTTTTCCATTTTGATGTCCCAGAGGCCAAAAACACTCAAATTTTTATATATGTATAGCCAATATATCATATATACGTCCATGAACGTGATAACTTGAGTAATTTTTGTCTGATTTTGATAAAATTTGGCATGAAAGTGTAAGGCGCGATAAACCATAATGAGTACGAGAAACAGCATGACCAGACCATGGGAACCCGGGTTTTTTTTCTTCTAATCGCCTGTTTGGAAATAATAACAAATAAGTTTATATTACAATATTTTGAATTTTATTGATATTTTTTAAAGAAACATAATCTATTTGATTTGGGCTTTCACTTATTTCTTAACCATATTTAATATTTGGATAAAAAGTATATAGAATGTCCGATTCTTTATGTAAATGTGAGTGTGATTAGCAATCTAAGCTATCCAATGACGTCTGTTCCCGTCCTAATCATAGTGGGCTAGTAAAAAAATTGTGTTCTTGCAGATTTACTTTTGCTATATTGACAACGCAGGAAAATAAAAAAATAACTGACTTTTCCAAATAACATGTTTACATTCATACCCCTTTGATTGACTTTGCAGGTTATTTGATCTAGGGTCCTGAAGGTTGCTTAAGAGAGAGGGTTTTGTACTTAAACTTTTTGAAATTTGGAGATGTGATAACTGATTTTTTGTTGTTAAAATTTTCCTCCACCTTCACCACTACCTCCACTACTCAATGACTAGACTAATTTCAAAGGTCATATCTTCCACTAGCCTATATTATTTTTCACTACAGACTTAACTTCTGTTTCATGTGGCTACAGAAAATATGCAGAAACTGTGGGGTGTTGGTGGATACCAACTGGAGGCAAGGGGAAAAACTTTGCAACCCCTGTTACTGTTTCCCCAAGAAGTACGGGGTAAGTAACCTTGAAAATTTTTGTTTATTTAGTTATTGTGGGACTTGTAAATCAATTATCCCGTCAAAAACCTTCACTAGCAGCCAAACTAAACAATCTTATACTGTAACATAATTGTTCTATTTCTTATACAAGAATATTATTCACACATCTTGCTTCAACAAACTCTATTTCCAAACTAAACCAATGTTTACAAAAACATGTTTACAAAAATCATCTGACAACAAAACATATTTAAACACAAATAAATCATATGATAACAAGAACAGACTTAATACAACATCCCGCCTCAAGATTGAAAGTATACCATCTCCTCCGTAGTACGGTGCAGGAACTAAGAACTTCCTGTTTCGGCGAATGGTTCTGCTCTTGTCAGTTTCCACAAGGTAGGAACGTGGTTCGTTCAATTTCCCGACTACCTTACCGTGTCGACGTAGATCTGTGATCCATACCATGCTTCCAACTTCTAATTTACTTAAACCACTCGCTCCATGTCGTCTATCAAATTGTATCTTGTATTTATTCTCTGGTACTTATTCACCCTCTCAAGAAAATTCTTGTTTTCCACAGGATTTCCAACCAAAGTAGATGGAAGATTGTCTCTTAATTTCCTTCCAAACATAAGTTCAGATCGGGAAAAGCCGGTTTCAAGAGGTGAGGTCCGGTAAGAAAGTAGGACAAGTTCAAATTTATCCTTGTTTTTCTTCATTAGCCCTTTTGCTACTTTCACAGCTGCTTCAGCTGCCCCATTTCCCTGATGGTGGTGGGGACTACTTCTGAATGTGGAGAACCCCCACTCCTTTGCAAACAATTTAAATTCACTTGAGTCAATATGGTGAAACTGTGTCCCACTATCTGAATAAACACGTTGAGGAATTCCAAAACGTGAAAATGTGGTATCTGAAGCCCTCATTCGATGCATTTCCTCGACTTCAAAGAATCTTGAGTAGTGATCCACGATAACCATATACCACTTATCTTTGTGTTTGAACAAGTCAACAGACACATTTTGCCACGGGTAATCCGGGACAGTTCTCGGAATCAACGGTTCACTGTGATTAGTTGAGTTCTGAATACACACTGGACACGATTTGATTATCCTTTCTATTTCTTGAGAAATTCCAGGCCACCACATGGTTCCCAAAGCACGTTTCCTTGTTTTTGTGATTCCCAAGTGTCCACTGTGAAGCCTCTTGAGCATTTCCGCTCGTAGTTCCTGAGGTATTATCATCCGAGTTCCTCGAAGCAATAACCCATCAATACAACTTAACTCGTCTTTCACGTTAAAGTACTCTTGAATCTCATTAGGTAAACTTTAATTTACAGGCCATTCGTCTAAAATTTGTAACTTAAGTTGTGCACAGATTGGATCTCTCATTTGTGAGTGAAGTACCTTTGTCACATTTTCGTCTGTAGTGTTTATACTAATCAGACTGATTTCGTGGACGAAGGCTTCCACTTCTTCAGTCAATTCGCCATCTTCATTAGCCGGAATAGGACTTCTTGATAGTAGATCTGCTATGGCAAGGTCTTTTCCTGGGGTCCAGGTCATGCAATAATCGTATCTCATCATACGCATTCGGAATCGCTGTAGCTCGGTGAGAGCTCGTCCAAATTTTGTGTTTTGAAAATTGAGACAAGCAGTTTGTGGTCGGTCTCAATTGTGTACATTTTACCCATTAGGAAACATTTCAAACGGTTACTTGCCCATGTGCACGCAAGCGCTTCTCTCTCAATGTTACTGTAGTTTTCTTCAGCAGGCGTTAGAGTCCGAGATATATATGCCACAGGTTTCTTGTTTTCTCCTTCAACTTGAAGTAAAACCGCTCCAAGACCTTTTTTTGAAGCATCACAAGAAAGAATCGAGGGTTTTTGCGGATCGTAAACAGTCAAACATGGCTCTGATGATAAAATCTGTTTTACTGTGACAAAAGCTTTTTCTTGAGCTGGTCCCCAAAAGAAATCGTTTTTAGTCTTTAACAAGCTCGTAATTGGCTCCAAAATCTCACTGCGGTTCGGAATAAATTTTGCCAGAAAAGTGATCATGCCCATGAATCTTTGTACTTCATTAGCATTTCTTGGAGCTGGTAAGTCACAATCGCTTGTACCTTGCTTGGATCAGGCTTGATTTCGTCCTTATACAGCACAAACCCCAAATACCCCCTCCGCAGCAAACCTGCAGACTTAGCGAATTTCCATTTGCCTGATTGGATTTAAACTAAAATGTCTCCTAAAAAATATCACATTTATTCCCTATTTAAACAGAACTAGTCTAATGAGTACTTAGGTTTGCTGCAACAGGGAGGGTAAAAAAGTTTTTTTTATGTAGAATATTAAAAGGTACTGTGGTTTAGTAAGAAATTAATGTATTTTCCAACTTTTATCAAAATATGTTCATAAACAACCAAACTACAACAGTTGACTTATTCTCCATAAGAATAACATGGGAATTTTAAAATTACAATTTTTTTGAATTTTCTCCTTAACAATTAGGCGCATAATAATGCTTCAATATACTAAATTATTTGTTTTTTTAAGCTCTTCAAAATGGTTCAAAAAGAAATTGTGAAATTTTGTGTTTTTAGGGTCAAAAATGGGAAAAACCTATTTTTACCCCATAAAACCCCCCATAAACCCCCGTTCCCATAGTCCGATCATGCTGGTTCGCGAACTCATTCAAGTTTATCCTGCCTTACACCTTCAAACCAAATTTTATCAAAATCGGACAAAAATTACTCAAGTTATCGTGCGGATGGACACATATATATATATATATATATATATAGATATATATAAATTTGAACGAATGGTGTTTTTGGCCTCTGGGGACATCAAAATGAAAAAGTAAATCGGTCCCGGGCTTAGGTCTTACCATGAGACCTACGGTAATAGCTACTTCCCTATAGGGAAATTCGCTAAAATGTCACAGTCTTATTGCAGAACTTAGACTTCTGCTTATTCAAGGTGATTCCATTAGCTTGCACTCTCTCTAGAACGGCCCTAAGACACTCGTCGTGTTCTTCTTTCGTTCTTCCCCATATCAGACAGTCGTCAATGTGCACTAAACAGTTCTTTGCCCCTTCTAAAGCTTTTGACATGCGGCGCTGAAACTCTTCAGGAGCGGACGTAATTCCAAAAGGTAACTTACGGAATTTATACCTCCTGAAAGGGGTGATAAATGTTGTGTAATCTTGTGACTCCTCTGCAAGGTTCAGTTGCCAGAACCCGGAATTTGCATCGATCTTGCTGAAGTACTCGGCTCCCGCAATCTCGGCCAATGAAAGTTCAATCTTTGGACTAGGATAAAACCAACGTTTCACACTGTTGTTGAGTTTGGATAGGTCTACGCAGATCCTAACTGTCAAATAATGAAGTTTTATAGTGTCTTCTCTTCCTCTTTTTAAAGACATGTTCTTCTTGGTGGATTTATTGGTCTACCAAATGAGGAAAAACAATTAGGCTCAGTTCCAGGGTCATCAGATGTTTTGGGTTGTAGTTGTCTTAGCATTACCCAGTTGCGACGTAACATGCCTTCGTTTGTCTTAACTGTGTATGATCTTGGAGCTACCTTATTAACTATGTCAAATAATGAAGTTTTATAGTGTACTAGCTGGCCCGACAGACGTCGTCCTGTCCTATGTTAAATCCTGTGTTAAATGCCCTATGTTAAATCCTGTCCTGTGTTAAATTAGCTATGTCCTGTCCTATTGTGGTTTTATGTCACATGCTCGTTCATTTTCAAGATGAGCTCGTTCGCATGGCTCAATCACGTCCTGGTTGAAGTTCGTTTGCTACGCTCACTCACCTTTAGGTTGGAGCTCGTTCGCTGCGCTCACTTGCCTTCAGGTTAGCTCGTTCGCTACGCTAACTCGCCTCCAGGTTGAAGTTCGCTCGCTACGCTCACTCACCTTTTGGTTGCAAATTAGCTGTTCTCATAAATTAAAAAAAATATAGTGCTGCACCCTGTTGGTAAACCTATTAACTTTTTAATGCTATTGAACATCACAGAATCAAATTGTTTAGCTGCACCAGCTGTTAAGATTCTTTAATTCCATTTAAATATGAGTAGTCATAAGGTTAACATGGGAAACTCCAGAGCCACTGGGGTGGAGCCCTATTGACGGATCTGCACCAAACTTCACACAAACCATCCTTGAATAATGCTTAATAATGCCTAAAAGTTTCATTACAATCTGTCGAGCGGTTTCGGAGTCCATAAAGGACAAACATACAAATATACAAACATACAAATATACAAACATACATTGGATTTTATATATATAGATTAACAACTTTTATTTTATGAATAAACTAGCTGACCCGGCGAACTTCGTATCGCCTAAGTTATAGGTTTTCCCTAAGACAGTCCGATGGAAAGAAAGTACCGTTACGTTTAATTTTCAAGATGATCTCGTTCGGATCGCTCAATCACGTCCTGGTTGAAGTTCGTTCGCTACGCTCACTCACCTTTGGGTTGGAGCTCGTTCGCTACGCTCACTCACATTTAGGTTGGAGCTCGTTCGCTGCGCTCACTTGCCTTCAGGTTAGCTCGTTCGCTACGCTCACTCGCCTCCAGGTTGAAGTTCGTTCGCTACGCTCACTCACCTTTTGGTTGCAAATTAGCTGTTGTCATAAATGTAAAAGAAATAATAGTGCTGCACCCTGTTGGTAATCCTTGTAACTTTAATGCTATTGAACATCATAGAACAGAACCAACTTGTTTAATTGAAACAGCTGTTAAGATTCATTAATTCCATTTCTCATAAGGTTAACATGGGAAACTCCAGAGCCACTGGGGCGGAGCCCTTTTAAGAATTTCGAAACGGGAAATAGTTTACGTCCGATTCGCATACCTACAGAATTTACACACCAAATTTCATAACGATCGGTGAAGTCGTTCCGGAGGAGTTTGCAGACAAACACTGTGACACGAGAATTTTATATATTAGATGTTACATACTGAATTATTTGTAAATACAAAACAACAACAATCTCCAGATGATCTTAATAATTACTAAATCAATATTACAGAATAACAAACATATGACACTAACCCCACCTCCCTTTTTTGCGCAAACTACCATTGGTGCGCACCAATCAGTCGCGTGTTCAACTGGAACAATCACTCCTTTCTCAAGCATATCGTCTAACTGCTCTTTCACCTTGGTTTTTAAAGGTATTGGTACAACCCTGGGGGTGGATATAGCGTAAGGAACTGCATTCTCCTTCATTTCAATCTTGTACTCTCCTTTCATATTTCCCAACCCTTGAAATAAATTAGGATACTTAGTAGCCCAGTCAATATCAGGTGAATCTACAGAAAAAATTCTCCTCACCAGGTTCAGCTCTTCACAGGAACTTCTGCTAAGAAGTGGAACAGTGATCTCCTCAGAAATATACGCAAGATCATAAACTGATACACCCTTATGTTCAAGCTTTAGCCTTAAAGTTCCCAAAATATTGATTCGTTCTTTCTTCTTTGCGCTAAACACAGGGGATTTGCACTTTCCTAGGAGGCATTTGCACTTTCCTCCAGGATCTGTATACGAAAATATTTTTCTTGAAAAATTAGATAGTTTGTTAGGCCTTATTTTTGAAAAATATGAAAGAGTAATTGTGGCTGGAGACATTAATATTAACGTTCTTAAGTTTTCCAAGGGCTATCAGATATTCAATAATATTTTAAATGAATATAATATGCATTATTTGGTAGACTTTCCTACTAGAATAACATTAGAGGGTGAAAGCGGTATTGATAATATATTTACTACAATTCCTAAAAACAATCTTTTAGTATCAGGCCTAATCACTGAGCTCTCTGATCATGACGCTCAACTCTTAGAAATTCGGGACATCTCTTCTAAACAAAAGTTTAACAAACCTACTATTAAATCTAGTAGAAAATTCCTTCCTGAAAATTTAACCAAATTCAAAAATTATCTTCCAACTCACACATTACATTTGGTATTGAGTTATATGGAGCTACAAGTAATCAAAATTTACAAAGTATTCTAATCCTTCAAAAAAGGGCAATAAGAATCATGTTAAATCTGGATGATGAAGAATCGGCCAAAAATTATTTTCCTAAATTAAAAATTCTAACAGTTTACAGCTCATATATATTGCACACTATTATGCATGTGAGGGCTTCTGAAGACAAGGTGCCACTGCTGGGGGATAATCATAGATATAATACTAGGCATAAAAATTATCCATCTGTAACACAACACAAACTGGAGTTTTATAACAAGAAACCAACAGCTGCAGGTATTAAGTTTTTGTACCATCTACCAAAAGAAATATTTGATATAAAAAACATTAGGTCTTAAAAAAAAACTTAAATTGTTACTAATTGATAGAGCATTTTACTCATTTGAAGAGTTTTACAACATGTAATTACATTAATTAAATTTTCCTGTTTTATTTAGTTTAACCAAGTATTTTTAATCAGTAAGCTGTTTTGACGCCATTCTGTATTTATGCATATATTTCATGTAGGTATATAATGTATAAATCTTTAATAAAGCTTTTCTGATTCTGATTCTGATTCAGAGTCTTAATAAAATCACGGACAACTCCTACTGGAATCATGGTTACATCAGCTGCTGTGTCAAGTTAAAATTTTATAAGACCTAAATCTTGGTTTCCACATAAAAATAGACTGTGAGGAAGAAAGAAAGTAATTTAACCGTTTACATTTGGCACAGAAGCCTGTTCCAAACTGGAACTGAATTCACTGTTTGCAGGTAACAGTTAAGCTTATTACGGCAGACTTTAAAGTGTCTGGCTAGATGAAGTTACCAACGAAAGTGTCTGGCTTTTGAGAAAACGTCTTTTGATAGCTCCCCAAATAACATATATCAATTTCAGCTTTTATAAAATGACGAAAATTAATCTTCGTCATACCTAGTTTTTAAGGGTGTCTGGCAGAGGGTTTAAACCGCACAAAGTGTCTGGCAATGGGGGAAATGATTTCTAACATTCCTCTGAAGAAAATATGAAAGAACCAAGCTTTATACTATAACAATGGTTATTTGCAAATTTCAGACCTTTGTTACCTTTTTACCAAAGTAACCAAAATCCAAATGTCATAGTTGCCGATCATTCTTAACTGAACTGGGAGCATTTGCTGCGAAACTTTCAGCTTTTATAAAATAATGAAGGTCTGGCAGTCATGGGCTCTTGCTCTATTATGTTAGACTTGCTAAGACTGATAAAAAACATTAATTTTAAGCAGTAAATTTTATAACAAGTTACCAATAGCCATAAGATTACTTAGTGATAAGGATTTCAAGATTAAAATAAATAACTTTCTTTGTAATCAGCCATTATACTCAATAGAAGATTATATGTCAAGAACACTGACTTCACTGGATTTTAATTTATGTTATGTTATGACTAATTTGATGTGCCAATGCATTTGTATGGAATATTAATTGGCAAATAAAATCTCATTCTCATTCTCATTCTCATACCATTCCATTAAGGTATGATCTTGAAAATAAATCAAAGGAGAACTTTATTATTGATAGTATAAATCACTCTATCAGAGGTATGATTTAAAGATACTCTCACTTAAAACTTCTGGACCTGCACCTCTATCTCGGAAGGCGACATCATACTTCTCACGGACTTCATATTAATAGATCGTGAAAAGGTGGGGTTGCGCTCTTGTTGAAGGAGATTATATGCTCAAGTGAAACAATTGGTAGACATGGCTACAAACACCCAGCCAGGGAGAGTAATTGCCAAAATCAATCTTCTCATCTCAGCATGCAGACTCCATATGAAGAACCAAAAGTTATGCCTGAACATCGGCTCTACAGTGAGGCAGCAGTTCAACAGAGTGATCCACTGCTTTCCACATCCGAACTAGAGACAACTATACACTGCCTCAACACCAACAACCTGAGCCATGATCTTAAAAAAAAACTTCATGTCAGCAACCCAAGTATATGTAACTTAGCTTTAGATAAACGTCTAAATAAGCCAAAACAATTTAAAAAATTTGCAAAAACGTTGTGTCCAGTCGTTTGATTAGTAATCATTACATTCATTGGAAGAGAATACCGGTAGTATTTATGTAGTAAAAGGGTTTTAATTAACTTTAGTAATCATCAAAGCTGGCTTTTTGGGCCTGTTATTCACGGTTAACGGTGTCCTCTGAACTTTGGGGTCAGTCTTTGTTTCCTTCACGAATGGCTATGTAGAGATTGGCAGTAAATTCTTTCATAACCATCATCTATAATAGGCCCCCCTACTGCCACATGTGATTTGATTTTTAAATAATTGAAAACACCATATTGACATATGCATTTTGTTCCAGGAGAGCAGGCCCGCAAGATTGTGGCAACAAAACTAAAGGGCGATTCTCTGGCTGGGTCTCTGGGAAGTGGTCCTGCTTTGTTATTTTCAAGAATTGATTAAAACTGGTTAAAATATTGTTTTTTATATAAAACAATAATAAAATCTCCCTTAACCAGTCTTTAAAATTAAAATAAAAAATTATTTTTCATGAAATGAAGCTTTAAACTTGGGCAAGTTCTATTACAGTCAAATGGTACTTTTTTCCAGAATTTTAAGTAAAAATGTTTATAGTTAGATAATTCAATAAATTGAAATAACTTATATTAGTAAATAATTGAAAATATAATTTGTTAAACCTTTGTAAAATAAAAAAGAAATATTAAATAGATTTTGAGTTATTGTTAAATTTCCAATCCATGTTTGCTTGTCCCGTGCAACACACAAAAGGTGAGATTTTTGTTTGAAATCCCAAACTAATTTATATTATTTATAACAACTTCAAAGCAATAAAGATAAAATATAAAATGAAGGCAACAATGTAGTTTACTATTTTTTATGTACTTTATTTTTTGTTTTATAATACATTTAAAAAGTGTCCCGTGCAACACGTGTTGCACGGGACAATTAAACTAAAGTGGTGTTTATGAATAGATACCACTTATTTTCTTTTTAATTTTTAATAGAGACAATAGTTGCATATTTATTAACACAGGACTATAAGATTTCTTAACAAAATTAAATTGCAGAATTGTAAAATTTTTTTGAGAAAAAGTCCTTGTTGTAAGACAACTTAGAAAAAATGTCTAGAAAAAATTGTGCTTTCTCAAAAATGTCTATGGGTTGTGGAAATTCATAAAATATGCGCTCTCCCTTGAATTTTAATTGTGGGGTGTCAAAAAGCGTGGGGTCCCAGTTTATCGACATCCCAAAAGATCGACACTGAAATAGTCCCATATTGTCGACAACTCAAAATGTCGACAGTGTCGGTAATATGGGATGTCTGTAAAGTGGGATGTCGGTTATTTGGGATGTCTACAAAGTGGGACGGTTGTGTAAATTTTCCCACTTTATCGACACGCAAAATGTCGACAAGCAAAACAGATCGACAAAGAGCGGGAGATTCAAATTGAAGGTGAACAGCTCTTGCTGAACAGCTCGGTTGAGTCCAGATGCATATATAATAAGAGTCGTTCTTTTTTAAACTCCGAACGACATATCTATTCACAGCACCTGCAGCTGCAGTCTCCTTCAAATTTGTCAATGCTATCTCAACTATCTTGTGTATATCAATTGTGTTCTGCCGTTTGAAGGCTTTACAATAATTCGACATTTTTCACACTTGTATTATGATTTATTGTACTACTGTTTCTTTCGTGCAAGAAAGTAGGTAGTTAAAACTTGCTACCTAGGCCAAACTATGCTTGAGGATAATTATGGTATCCATCCAAAGTTTTTTAAATCAGAAATTAATTTGAAATATATAATGATACTAGCTGTTGTACCCGTGCTTTGCAACGGGAAGAGAACACAAAATAGAAACATTTTGATCTTTACATCTGTTGATAAAATAGTTACACATAAGCCTTTTAAAAACAAAATTTAACCTTTTAGCGAATTTCCCATATAGGGAATAAGCTATTACCGTAGGTCTCATGGTAAGACCTAGACCCGGGACCGATTTACTTTTTCGTTTTGAGGTCACCAGAGGCCAAAAACACCATCCGTTCAAATTCGTATATATATATGTATATTTTAATTTAGGTGTTCACGTAATAGGGCTGCTGATATATTAAATATTTAAGTAAATAAGTACAACTGAGCACCCTGAATAATATATTTTATAAAATATAATATTCAGGGTGCTCAGTTGTACTTATTTACTTAAATATTTAATCTAATATATAAAATTCTCGTGTCACAGTGTTTGTCTGCAAACTCCTCCGGAACGACTTCACCGATCGTTATGAAATTTGGTGTGTAAATTCTGTAGGTATGCGAATCGGACGTAAACTATTTCCCGTTTCGAAATTCTTAAAAGGGCTCCGCCCCAGTGGCTCTGGAGTTTCCCATGTTAACCTTATGAGAAATGGAATTAATGAATCTTAACAGCTGTTTCAATTAAACAAGTTGGTTCTGTTCTATGATGTTCAATAGCATTAAAGTTACAAGGATTACCAACAGGGTGCAGCACTATTATTTCTTTTACATTTATGACAACAGCTAATTTGCAACCAAAAGGTGAGTGAGTGTAGCGAACGAGCTCCAACCCAAAGGTGAGTGAGCGTAGCGAACGAACTTCAACCAGGACGTGATTGAGCGATGCGAACGAGAGAGGCGAGTGAGCGTAGCGAACGAGCTAACCTGAAGGCAAGTGAGCGCAGCGAACGAGCTCCAACCTAAAGGTGAGTGAGCGTAGCGACAGAGCTCCAACCCAAAGGTGAGTGTGCGTAGCGAACGAACTTCAACCAGGACGTGATTGAGCGATGCGAACGAGATCATCTTGAAAATTAAACGTAACGGTACTTTCTTTCCATCGGTCTGTCTTAGGGGAAACCTATAACTTAGGCGATACGAAGTTCGCCGGGTCAGCTAGTATATATATATATATAGATTTATATATATATAGATATATATATATAGATTTATATATATATAGATTTATATATATATATAGATTTATATATATATATAGATTTATATATATATATAGATTTATATATATATATAGATTTATATATATATACGTCCGTGAACGCGATAACTTGAGTAATTATTGTCCGATTTTGATGAAATTTGGTTCAAAGGTGTAAGGCAGGATAAACTTGAATGAGTTCGCGAACCAGCATGATCGGACCATGGGAACGGGGTTTTCCGGGGGGCTTTATGGGGTAAAAAATGGTTTTTCTCATTCTTGACCCTCAAAACACAAAATTTCCCAATTTCTCTCTAGACCTTTTTAAAGAGCTTAAAAAAACAAATAATTTAGTATATCAAAGTGTTTTTGTACGGTTATTAGTAACGGAGAAAATTCAAAAAGTTATAAACTTAAAATTCCAATGTTATTCTTATGGAGAATATTGTAAAATGTTGTAGTTTGCTTGTTTATGGATATATTTTGATAAAACTTGGCAAATTATTTATTTTACACTAAGCTATTAATATTTTACTAAAAAAACCCCACAGTAGTTTCCTTGTAGCAGCAAACCTAGGTACTCGTTTAACCTAACGTTATTTAAATAGATTTAATTAAAAATCAATTCAGACAAATGGAAATTCGCTTAGTCGGCAGGTTTGCTGCGGTGGGGGTATTTTTGTTAAATCGGCTAGTTTCATTCAGTAACTATTAACTATTTAGCGTAAGATTTTAAGCATTGATTATACATTTTAAGCATTAATTATCAAATACTTTTCAATTAGTTAAATAAATCAAAAATAATTATTTTAATCCACACTGCATTTTACTAACATTTAATTGGTTATTATTTTATTCAATCACTTATTTTCATCAAAAGATCGAACAAACAAATTAGGCCATAGACTAATATTCCTTCAATAAGATTCTATTTACAACGAAATTTGTTTTTGTTGATTTTTACATTATCTTTAATCATACAGAAAAGTATAATATATAAAATAGCATTAATTTTTAACAAGCTTTTCATTGGTGATATTTATTTTCAATTTAAATCAATACTTATCTTTTTATCTTAAGATTATCATTTTTGATAACATTTCATGTTTAAGTTTAAAATTATTTAAAATGAAATATGGACTTGTAATACATCAAATATCATTAAAATTTTCTGAGAAATTCAATACTTTTAATAGATTTTGAATAACTCAAATAGGAAAAATATTATTTACAAAAAAACAATAATTTAAATGAAATATTTAGAAAATTTGAAGAATTTTTACTTGTTTTTAAAAACATTTTGTTTTGTAGTAAATTTTATGGAAAATATAGACATATTCGTGAAAATTTCATCAAAATTGTATACTTTTTCTAGAAAAATATAAAAATGTTAAAAATTGGCCTAAAAGAGGCAAAAATTTAACATATTAGTATTGAAAAACTGCAAATTTCATTAAATTATTTAAGTCTTCCTTTTTTGGTCTAGGATTGGTACATTACTATCTACTTATATTTATATATGTGTCCGTTAGCGCGATAACTCGAGCAAAAATCATCCGATTTTGACGAAATGTGGTACAAACGTGTAAACCTACGTTTATTCAAACGAGTTCGCAAACCAGCATGATCGGACTATGGGAACAGGGGTTTATGGGGGTTTTATGGGGTAAAAATTAGGTTTTCCCATTTTTGACCCTAAAAACTTAAAATTTAGCATTTGCTTTCCAAACCATTTTGTAGAGCTTAAAACAACAAATAATTTAGTATATTGAAGCGTTATTATGCGCCTAATGGTTACGGAGAATATTCCAAAAAAACTGTAAATTTAAAATTCCCATGTTATTTTTATAGAGAATAAGTAAACTGTTGTAGTTTGCTTGTTTATGAACATATTTTGATCAAATTTGGAAAATGCATTCATTTCATACTAAACTATTACCATTTTACAAAAAAACACCTTTTTACCCTCCCTGTTACAGCAACCTAAGTACTCATTAAAATAATGTTATTTAATTAGGGAATAAATGTGATATATATTTTAAGGAGACATTTTAGTGTAAATCCAATCAGGCAAATAGAAATTCGCTTAGTCTGCAGGTTTGCTGCGGCGGGGGTATTTTTAATTCAAATAATTTGCGTTTGGACTCAGATAAAACTAATTTTTATTTGTTGCCAAGCAGGAAAAACTAAACTTCAAAATCTGCCGAAAATTGTAGTTAATAACAACACAATTCAAAATAAAGACCACATCAAATTCTTGGGATTAGAAATTGATGAAAATTTTAAGTGGAATCATCATTATGAAATTTTCATCTGGCCTTTATGAGTTAACAAGATTAAAACCCCCTGTGAAAAAGAAACTTTAAAAATTATATATTTTTCATACATACATTCAATCATATCATTTGGAGGTTCACTTTATGGTGCAGCAAAAAAGAAAAAAAATTAAAATCAATTCTAAAAAAGCAAAAGAAAGCTATTAAAATTTTGTGCAATTTAACAGGCAGAACTTCAGTCAAAGAATATTTTAAAACTGAGGATATTATGACTGTTTATGGAATGTATGTCTATGAAACAGTATTATCAGTAAAAGACCGATTTTTTAATGAATTACAACTTATGGGAGTTTTACTTTACTAGAAATCGAGAAAACCTGGCCACAAGCTCACACTCTGCAACTTTTTACCGAGACACCTAAATATGCCGGTTCCAAATTTTATTATAAACTTCCTAAAGAAATCAAATTATAAACTTCCAAAAATAAATTTAAATCAAAATTGAAAAAGTTTCTTATCAACAAGGCTATGTACTCCTTTGAAGAGTTTTAGTTCTATAAGCTATTAATTGCTTTATTTAATTTAAATTGAAACTTTTGGTTTTAAGATAATTTTATCTATTATTTTAATTTTGATATTTTCTTGTATAAACTTTCATATTGCAATGCTTGTTTTAATTTATTTGATCTGAAAAGCTATTAATATTGATGGTATGTGTTTACGCCATGCATGATAATGATGAGTAGGTATTGTAGTTATTTTTGTTAAATTACTCTTTACACCATTCCTGTATTTATGTACTAGCAAAAGAGCCCGTTGTGGTTGAATACAACGGTCTCTGGTAAAATAATGGTTGTGAAATCCATACAACACTCTACTCGGCACTAATATTAATGGTACAGATTAAGTAAATAACATTAGAATCGCATACTTAACATAAGGAACTCACTTTAAACACAAATGCAAATTGTGAACAGCAACATTTAGTAAAAAAAAAAAAATCAATTAAAACAATATAACAATAAGCTGTTAAATTAATAACACATGTTTCGTATGTTTAGATTATGCATACTGGTAAACCAATTATTGCCATCTATAAAAATTATTGGTTTTTCTTTTCTGAGTCGGGTTAAAGGTCTTTCACTTGAGATAAAAGATATACTTTATCGTTCAATCAGAAAACATAAATTTAATTATATCTTGGATATGGAATTTAGTTTTAGATTTATTTACTCAATTTTAATTACGTTATTCTATTTGTTTTGGCCTAAGAACCTTCAGTAAAATACCAGCTTCCATTTGAATTATTGATTATTAAGATCGGATGTACCTAAACCACACTGCTAAATCACGAACGCAAATTAAAAAAAAATGGAGTTATTTATCGATTTATAATTAAATGGTCTTGCTTGTAACCTCAACAGCAACTGCCAGAATTGACAGGTTTCACCTAGTAAATCTTTAAATAAAAAATCCAACTTTCATAATTATTTGCAAATCTACACGAATTAAAAGCTTTCCAATGACCTATTAATTAATAAAATCGGTTCAGTAGAACTGTAGATTTAACTGTACAAAGTTTAACAACAAAATCTTTAGTTAAGTATTTTCTCACCATTATAAATTTGGAGGTTGCTTAACGTTTTTGAAAATACCTTTGAAATTGTGAGGAAATCAACCAAAGTGGAAGGTGATATTCTGATAGAGAATAAAATTTCCTACAAATTACTATTATGTATTTCTGGAAAATACTCAATAAAGGCCGCCTAAAGTTGGATACAAATATAAACTTGGAAATATAATCTTTTAAAAAAGGCGTTTGAAATGTAATATTGTTTATTTTTATTGTTTTATCTCAAATATGTAATAAAATCTAACTTTCATAATTATTTGCATTGCAGAACTTCAGAGATAATACCTCTGTTTGACAGGGGTCACATTTGATCAGCAGAATTATGTTCCAGATATTCTGCGAGTTCCAACCTTTCTTCTAAGATTAAGTTATGGAGGATTTTGACCATAAAGAAAAGGTGTACATCGTGGTTGTGGAGGTTTTGAATGGTGGGTATACCCTAACGAGAGCAAGGACAAGTTAACAACCCAGCTAACCAGTCTTCGTTTTGGTGCACAAAACAGTGAAATTCACTGGGAGCCATTTCTGGACTGTAGGGTGTGTGGTTGAGAGAAAATCTTTAATTTTTAATGAGATTGTTTGTGTGCGATTTGGCGTGTGAAATAGTTCAGCTATTTTGGAACCCTCAATGTACTATTTCTAGACAGAACTTTCATTTACACACTGTTTCCATACATTTTGCCTAAACATTTTAAGTGTATGTCCGGTGGCTGTACATTACAGATCTCTCCTGATGAACAGCAACTCCTTTATCAATTGCAGTATATTTTAAAACTTCAATAGGCCTATTACAACAACAGGCAGCAAATCGACACTTCTGCTGTGATTGCTGGACAGGCTTTAAAGTATGCAAGCATGTCATGAGAGTGTTCAATCAGTGTGCACCTATCAACGTCAGACAGAAACCATCCTTACTTTTTGAACAGCCTCCAGTGTCTCTCCCCAATTACTATTTTTCAAAGAGCCTTACGGATAACTCCTTTATTCTTTTAAAAGTTTTATGGTAGAATATACATGTACAGTTGCTTATTAGGATTTTCAATAGCAAGAATAAATTAAACTGAATAATATTCACCAAAAATAATTACACTAAATAAGTTAAATAACCAATTTTTGCCTTATTTTACATAACATTTTATATTTCATACACAAAAGATTCATAACATATTACGATGCAAGTATTATTTTTTCTTAGAAATGCTCATTCATTCATATACATTTTACATATACTTTGTGTTACATTTATTTTTAAAAGATACTAGCTGAACCCGGCAGACGTTGTCTGGCCTTTGACCATTTATAATCCCGCGGGCTTTGCCCCGTTTAACTTCCTAATTTTCAAGATGATCTCGTTCGCATGGCTCAATCACGTCTTGGTTGAAGTTCGTTCGCTACGCTCACTCACCTTTAGGTTGGAGCTCGTTCGCTACGCTCACTCACCTTTAGGTTGGAGCTCGTTCGCTGCGCTCACTTGCCTTCAGGTTAGCTCGTTCGCTACGCTCACTTGCCTTTAGGTTAGCTCGTTCGCTACGCTAACTCGCCTCCAGGTTGAAGTTCGTTCGCTACGCTCACTCACCTTTTGGTTGCAAATTAGCTGTTGTCATAAATGTAAAAGAAATAATAGTGCTGCACCCTGTTGGTAATCCTTGTAACTTTAATGCTATTGAACATCATAGAACAGAACCAACTTGTTTAATTGAAACAGCTGTTAAGATTCATTAATTCCATTTCTCATAAGATTAACATAGGAAACTCCAGAGCCACTGGGGCGGAGCCGATTGGACGGATCACGAAATTGATGGTGTATAAACCTATTCCATGACATTCTACACGTATGTACCAAGTTTCGTGGCAATCGGTTCAGCGGTGTCTGAGTTTATCACTGCCAAACAAACAAACAAACAAACTAACAAATATATATACAAACATCCTCTTTTATACTTATAGACTTATAACACATATTTAGGGATGATAAAAACCAATTAGGAATAAATAATGTTTATTAACCATGAATGCTGTTCTTTAACAATTCACTTGAAAACTTAAGAATTACATGTAGAAATTATTACTTTCAATGGACAAGACAATATTATTTATAAAATATACAACCAATCAGTAGTGATGCAATAAGGAAAATACACAATGACAAATAAACTATTTACAATATAAAAATGTATAATACAATCTTAATGTCTTAATAAAACAATAATTAATTGCATTTCAGTATAGGAAGGTAGTAAGCGATTCATATACACAAACACTATACACATTTACATTGACTATTTACAACGAGATTCTACACATGCAATAGGCCTACTACGAATGTACAGCGAACACCAATATCAAAGGTTCAGACTTTGTGTTTGTCAGGCATGATTAATTTAACACATGCTTGAAATTAAAACATTCAATCATAAACAATTAAAGCTTTGCGACAAAATTATACAAAAGAAAAGGAAAATAGGCATACAACTGCAAGTTTAAAAACTGCAAGTAAATTCCCGAGGCAATTTAAAAATATTGTGTTACACTTAAATAATAAAATTGTCTTCTCTGATCCCCTAATAACTAGTTAACTAAACTATTGTATCATTCAACTTTATTGTAATTTAATATTTTCAACTGGGGCCCATTTCATAATAAACTACAAGTTACAACTTGTAACTTGTAATTTCCATTAGATTTGCATAGGCGATCAGCTGATTTACTAATAATATTAGTTTGTACTTTATTATGAAATGGGCCCCAGGTTGATGTTTTAAAATATTAGTTAGGAACAGAAGTTAGGTCAGGACCATCAAACAATATTGAAAATGCTATCAAACACACAAAAAACAAACTTAAGTTTTTAAGTATGGTAGTGTAAATTATTTATATTGTATTTACTGGGTTATTTTGCATTTACTAATAATTTGGTATTCACCCAAATAACTATGTCCTTAGACGCTTTGGTCATCCTCAAAGAAAAGATGTATTGAGTTTCACATAAAACTAGTATGAGTGATTTGTTGTTCAACTAGGTAGTAATAAACATCAGCTGCAACCTGTTAGTTTGATTAAAAACTTATTTGTAAAGCTTGTCCTTCATAGGTACAAAGTAGTTATTTGTGTAACTAGTAGGCAAAGTGGCACTTTGCTGCACACAAGAGAATTATGTTTACGCACGAGCCGTAGGCAAGTGTGGAAAGTTCCTTGAGTGCAGCAAAGGCAGATTGCACTCGTGTTACACATTATATTTTTCCTACAGTTACTGTAAATCATATAAATAATTAGTCTTTCAAACACTGTACAACACGTTTTTAGGTTAGGTTAATTCCAAACTTTGAACAAAATGGGAAACGCTGCATTAGCTGATTGTATTCTAATATCTTTAAGTGTCGACATCTTATTTTCAGGTGTAAACGGATTACGTGCATAATAAAAGGTTTTGTGTTGGTTGGTTGGAATGGTGTGCGCCAAAGTAAGGCTTTCTGTACTATAATCTGTGCAAGGAAGCCCATTTTGTCGGTTGACTGTAGGAAAACTAGTTTTTGTTTCTATTAAGACTTATATTTTTAAGTCATTAGCCAGCTACCAATCTTTGTAAGGGTAAAAACACACAGAACGGCGTGTGGCACGTTGACAACCGTCAAACCGTGCCCACAGAACGTGACGTGGTACGTCTCTTTATCTCTCTTTCCCGTACAATTACCACAAATTGTGAATGAATCGGTTTGTATGAATACGGAATCTAAGCAATGTGTTTATAAATTCATTGACAACATAACATTTTTTTAATGTTAAGAACAATTTAGACTATTAGGTAAACGTAATGGATTTTGACACAATTGTTAAATAAATGTCACTACATTTCAAACTATTAAATTAAATTGTCTTGGACAGGATATTAAAAAATATATTGATAACTGTTGAAAAATGTTTCATATCTTTGCCTTTAAATATTATTATCTAACACTTTTACTTGATTCACTAAGTGCCATTGCCATCTCATCCCACAGCTTGTCTAAAATACCTCTGCTCTTGTAGTGTTAATGCTTTGCCTGCCACAGTGCAGGCCTACAATAGTTATTTTCCTACAGTCACCCGACAAAGTTGGCTTCCTTGTACTGTTTATAGTACAGAAAGCTGCTAATTGCTGCATATTTATACTTTGCCGTACGGTTTGTACTTTGTCGTACGGTTAATACTTTGCCGCACATCAGGATTCCAACAAAACAACACAAAACAGCGTGGTTCTATTATGCACGTAATCCGTGTACGCTTGGAAATAGGTTGGCAACACTTAAAGATAATAATACTATGAGCAGCTGATTTACTATTATAACTACGATTTAACCTGTCATTTCGTGTTTATAGTTTCGGTATTTCTGAACTTTCTGGACTTTTCTTTTAAACGTTTTTAAGACATTCCTACGATCTTAATAAACAAGAAAATACATTTAAAGCATTTTTTTTAGGCGCGGAAACCACTTCAAATTACAAAAACATACGGAACTATATTCTCAAAACGCGGAGCACATTTCTTGCCGAGGAAAAATAGCGGAGTGATACGGACCGCGGGTACTACTTTCTCTAGGGCACCATTTGTGTTGCCAGCTGAACCTAAAAACGTGTTGTATAGTGTTTGAAAGACTAATTATTTATATGCTTTATAGTGACTGTAGGAAAAATATAACGTGTAACACGAGTGCAAAAGGCCTTTGCTGCACTTGAGATCTGCCCTCGTGTGCAGCAAAGTGCCACTTTGCTCACTAGTTACACAAATAACTATTGTGTAACTAGTGTGCAAAGTGGCACTTTGCTGCACACGAGAGAAATGATTACGCACGTGCCGCAGGCGAGATTGGAAAGTTTCTCGAGTGCAGCAAAGGCACTTTTGCACTCATGTGTCATTATTATATTTTTCCTTAAGTTACTATTAAGCTTAAAAATAATTAGTCTTTTAAACACTATACAACATGTTTTTAGATTAGGTTAAATCCAAGTGTTGGAACAAAATGAGAAACGCTGCACCAGCTGATCGTAGTATCATTAAGTGTTGCTAACTTAATTTTCAAACGTACACGTATTACGTTCCCAATACAAAAAAAGTACACTATTTTAATTTTGTGTTGTTTAGTTGGAATACTGGTGTGCGGCAAAAGTAAGTAAATGCATCAATTAGCTACTTGCATGGTATAATCGGTGCAAGTAAGCCCACTTTGTCAGGTAACTGTAGGAAATAAACTTTGTTAATAAGGCTTGGCAAGGCTATCCATCACTAGAACTTCACGAAAAATGTGTGTTGCCGCTCCAAAAAATCAAACTCAACTGGTTCAAATGGAGACGCGCCTCATCGTGCCCCACTCTTGTGTGTTCCTTATTAGAAAGTACATACTTGGTTTAAGCGTCACGACACGCCGCCATGTACTGTGTGTTTTTACAATAAAAATTAGACCATTTATCGACCAAAATTGCCTTAAATATAGTTTACTCTTATGCCGTGAAAAATATTACTGTGAAACAGTCCAACATTATACAAGTAAAAAATAACCTATAAATATCTTAGTAATCATTAACATACTATGTAGGGATGGACGGGATTGAATTTTGAGTTCCATACGGGATTTTTATTTCCTTTCAATTTTTGGGATGGGATGGGATGGGGGTTTTTCCTACATGCAAAAAGGGCTTTTTCACCACACTATGATGTTTTTGGCTGTATTTCATAAGTTAATTAGTGGCTGAAAGTTACGTTTTGCTGGCCATGCCAGCTGTCATCGTAATTTGGGGCCCGAGCAGGTTTTTACAGCCCGGGGCGGCAAAATCAACGCTTACTTACTTAAAACATGAATGCATTTTAAATACACAATCAAAATCCATAGCATTGCAATAGAATTGTATATTGTCACCGTTGCCTAGCAACTATTTTTGTTTAGTTTTGCTGATTCCTCAAATTATTTCTTCACATAACCTTAAAGTTGTAGTTGTGTTGACTATCAGTGTGCATTATTATAGTGGTGAATAGTGGTAATAGGGTATAGTGTGGTGAAAAATAGCGTTCGTACCACGAACCGAAATGGTTTTGCAGCTCTCGATCGATTTAAGTTCTCGACTTGATACAGGGAAGATATTGAGGTGTTTTTTTTTTATTGCAATGTCCATAGCTTAGTATTAAATAAACAAAATTTCCAAATTTGGTTTAAATATATCCATAAACAAACAAACTTCAACAGTTTGTTTATTCTCCATTAGAATAACATAGGAATTTTAAATTTACAATTTTTTAAATTATCTCCGTAACCGTTGGGCATACAACAACGCTTCAATATACTAAACTATTTCATTTTTTAAACTCTACAAACTACTATCGAAATCGCGGAGACATAATCATCGTCTGTAATGGCGATATCTCCGTGATCGAAAAAACGGCATCATTGTCACTCCTGAAGCGGCAAAATTGCTGACAATTGAACCAATTCCCGTACCAAGAAAATCTTGATACAAATCTAATCCTGTCCCAATGATCAAGAATATTTTTCCCTGAAATTTTGGGACCCGTCCATCCCTAAATAAAGTAATCTTTGCCAATTAGTAATACCACTAACAAGGATACAGCTAGAATACAATAAATATAAATTCATAAATTTGCTACAAAAATAAATAAACAGTTTGGAATCAATTACATTTCAATTTTTAGTTAACATTTACACTCTTACTAGTAGGTAATAGGTGCCATCTCACAATAAAACAAATACAATAAAACTTAAGTAGACTACAAAAGCAGCTGGACACAGTGCAAGAACTAATCATGTTCTTTCTACCACTAAATAGCAAAGACACCTGGGTTGAGTCAAGTTCTGAATGAAAATTTGAATTAAAAACTAGGATAAATTAATGTTTAAAGTTTTTTTCTACGACCGTACGTAGAACATGTGATTAAAAGAAATGACAGGTTTGAGATTATACATTTTAATGTTATTTTTTGTCACGCTAGGACAGTTTAAGAGTTAGGCGGAGTCAGCTGAGCTGAAATCTTCACGTCTGAACATGAAAGGAGTAACTTACATTTGTAGTTACCAATTAAAATATTTGCAGAGAGTAAATATATTTGTAAACGGAATAATTAAACCTTTGACTGTTTAGGGTGGTTTAATTATTTAAAAAACAAATTAACTCAAAATCTAGTTAATATCTAGTTTAATCCCTTTAAGATTAATCACCCTTTAAGAGTTGCTTTATAAAACAAATATAAAAATTAAAATATTAAAGTTTAAAATAAAATAAACTTTTCTGGTTTATGACACTTTAAAAGTTATAAGTCATAATTTTAAAATGTTTGAGGTAAACAAAAACATGCAATACAGTACAATAACTTAATAAAAAATAAAATGTTGCAAACTCCTTTTTAAGCTGCAGTCTTAACAATACAACAGTGGCAGAACATTTCTAATACTACATAATTAGAAAATTTAATTTGAGTTTGTTTTTCAATTTGACAATTAAATTACAAACCACATTGACTGATGCATAATTATTACAGTATGAGAAAATTATTCAAACAGATTGATAGCAGCCTAAAAACATTTGCAAGTTTACATTTACTGTCCAAATCTATGTGAAATCCGTCCTGTCCATTGCAGAGTAAAAAATCCTACGACTACATACTGCATAAGAAATTTACCGCCTTGGATGCCACAGCCTCTTAAATGTTAACGACAGGGAAAGAAGAATAACTGGAGAATACAAACAATCGTGGAAAGTTGATTTTTACAATACAGTAACAAACATTGTCTACATCCGACATGAAGGTATACCTGAGAACTGGAGCGTCTTATTGGTGACACTAAAGGCAAAGTGAAACATACAAATAAATAAAATAGTATTTTCAGCTTAAAACAAAAATAACTCCACAAAGAAAGTTTTTAAATAAAATAAGGTATATCTATATAAAAATTTAAAAAACTAAAATCTATAAACATCTCACTCAAGCTGCCAATAAAAGTACACCAGCTCTTAACCGACCGGCCCTTGCAGGACTGGACCTAGGGATAAACTAAAAGGTTGAAATAACGGGAAACTATGTAAACAAATAAAATGCTGTAGGCTACAAACAAATAAACAACTCAGCTACATACATCAACTTTTAGATTTTTTTCTTATAAAATATACTGTGCTGTTCTAAGTATGGAAAACCATGTGTTGGTGATGTAACTGTTATAATTTACAGTAATGCAGAAAGACGTCTCTTCTATACTATAGTACTTTTTTTCCCAAAGACGCTAGACACAAGCCCAGGATTGTTTTACACATTACTTCAGGCTAGACCTAGGGGTTGCAGCATTATCACTTAGATCAAATCCATTTGTGATATGGCTGGATTTGAACCTGGGACCTCAGGACCAAAGTACCACGCTCTAACCACTAGACCAGCTCACTCCCCACTTGACTATACTATAGAGTACTGCACTTTTGACACGTGAAAATAGAAGTTATAAAAAAAAAACTTAAACATATACACGAGATCAAACAATTTTACTAGATCTAATTAAATATAAAGCTGCATGTGTAAATGACAGACTGATCAGGTATGAAAATGCTAGTATTTCTAGAAGAGCTAGAATGTCTGAGAGTTATTACATTTTATAATACACCCAACTCATCTAATATACAATTTAGTCTGCATTTATATTATTTATATTTATTTATTTATTAATAGTCAGAGATTAATCCAACTAGTTTTAAATTTTTACCCGGCAATGTTGGTAGATCCAGGGTCGGTTAAGAGAGGGTCTACGAGTAACAAAACTACAAAACTTAAACAACATATTTACAGAAAAGCTTTTGAAAAGTACTTTAGATTACAGACTCATCGGATGAGACAAGTAACACAAACGCGCGATGGGTCGATGCAGTCGTCGTGACAAAATGCACCACACTTCTTGCACGCAATCATCGCCTTGAGGCTGCAATGACAGTCGGCTGAGCGTACCGAGTGTTTGTTGGGGTAACATCCCGGCGTCGGTGAGTCACCTCCACCACCCTCCCCTACACTGGCCGGCCGACCCCTCCCTCCAACCCCCACCATGTTCTCGTTGTTGGAAGGGGGAGCGCTGTTGGATCTTCGAACCTGTGCACCAGTCCTTTGCACCAGAACGTAGTGACCCATCTGACTTTCTGCAACCTGCAAATAAATTGCACTTTATAAATAAGGCTGGCATGAATGGACAAGAGTCCAATCCGATACCAGATAAATAAACGGTATCAGCAATCTGACACATACTACTTTCTCCCATTTGCTTGTCAACAACCTTTATCATGGGTACGGTAAGTGATGAGAGTAACTATGATATTTAATAGGTAAAATCACAAAAGTATCATTAACTTTTGAACCGTAATTTTTACAGGAATGGGGGGTTGCACTATGTTGTTAAGAATTGTAAAGAAAAGATTATCACATACAAATTTCAATCAAAACCGTTTTGTTTTTTTTTAATAAGAATTTATCTTTTTTTATGGGTTTTTTTATCGGAAAATAATATAATTTACCATAACTTTAGAACCGTGATTTTTACAGAAATGGGAGTTACACCATTTTGTTCACAATTTAAAGGGCTGCAACATACTAAATTTTTATCAGAATCGTTCCGGCCATTTTTGGCCATGTGACCCTAACTTTGCCTGAAAAAAATAAAGGATTTTTCCTTTAATTTCAAAATAAAAATTTCTAATTACCTGATTTGGATTCCTACTAAAAAATAGTTTGAAAAACTATATTTAGCTGAATTATTTTTAAAGTTGACTAAACAGTATTAAGAATATGCAAATATAATACGCTTTTTTCTTAAACCAGACAGAGCTAATATTATCCAGCTGATCCATAAGGATAATATCAAATCCATATTGGGGTATTTTTAGGGGGTATGCTTAAGGTGAAGTTTGAATTTTAACAAAAGAAAGATTTAGTTTAGTACCAAGACACTTTTCAAACAGATCAAACGCCTTACATACATAAGGAGTTGTATTTTTACATTATTCCTTCCAAAGAAATAGTGTCATGAAATTTTGATAATTGTTTATAGAATGATAATGGATCAAATAGATTGGTAAAATAGTTTTAAATTTTTGAATAAGTGGACTGTATTTTGTACATGAGAATTTTGTTTTATTTACATTAAAAGAATCACTACTTACTGTTCTTGGTTAAATGAATCTTCTTAAATAAATAACTTATCTTCTTGAAGTTGAATAAAACTTAAATACTAATTTTCTTGAATTGAGTTTTTCATACTAACACTTTTTTCATACATCTTCATTTAGGTCATTCTGTCTTCAATGTTGATCTTTATCACAGTCACAAAGTTTGTTTTTAACATTTTATTATTGAACATTTTTAGAATATTTAAACTGCTTGCATTAACAGGGTTGTCAATTTTAATAATGAAATATTATTTTTAGATACAATGTGACATAATAATATAATTTGATGTAATAACATATGATAATTTAAATATTGAAATAAATTGCAATTTAAACTTTAATAATAATAAATTGTAAACATAAACATTGAACATTGGTTAATGAATTTTGATTGAGTTATTTGGAATAATTTAAATATGAATGAAATAAAGAAAACTAGTAAATACTTAACAGAAATAGCATTGGAGTTTGGGATCAAAAACGATTGAACTAATTGTTTTAACAAATTAGACCTATGGTTTGAGCAAACTTATAGTTGTAAAAATAAACAAAGGCAACTAATTATATGAGGGGATTTCAATTAGAATAAAACTATTATGCTGAACACAATGAAAGAGCAGAAGCTCAATTTCTTTTGCAGCGCAAGATAACACAGGGTTAACAAATTTTTTTACATACCAACAGGGTGAACAAAAAATACAAGACCCTAAATAAGAGACCCATTTCAAAACTAATATGATTTTATTTACTATGATTCATCATCTGTGTTTGGTGAGCATAAAAAACAAAAGATGGTTTTCAATGACTAGAGGTGAGAAAAATTCTGTAAAAATAGCACTTTGACACACTTCGAAATATGTTAATATCAATTTTTTTAAATTGCATATTTTAACATTTCAGATTAGATAGTTACGCCGGTTACACATTGGGCGGTTTCTGCCGCGGCGGTAATTTCGCCGTCGCCGCCGTTCGAGCAGTAGTCTATAGACTTAAATGGAAGCTTACACACTGGGCGGCAGGAACGCCGCGCGGCCATATTGCCGTTGGCGGCAGCTGTGCAGCCGTCCACTGCCACTGCGGCTGGCGGTGTTTTTGCCGCTCTAGTCTACGCAGTGGCGTACGTGACCAAATGGGCGTTTACACATTTGGCGGTTTTCTACCGTCGCCGCTGATCAGTCGTCTTTCCCAGTTGCTCCAAGTCAGAGGTCTTTGAAAATCAGCCTATTAATTTGTGTCTTGTTGTTAAGTTTGTGAGTTGTTTATAACATTTATTTATTGTTTTTAGTGTTTGTGGTTGACGAGCGATTTCTCTGCTGTCTTCTTTTCCTTTGACGGTACAACAAAAGTGCTAAAAGTTGTTGCCTTTCCATTTTGAATTAAACACTTAGACAATAGACAATAGACAAATAATCTTTATTCACAAATTCATTAAGAATAGTAGTAGCGTCAAATAATACTTAATAATATATACTTTTAAAAAATGTGCAAAATACAATTAACTGAACACTCATGAAACAGAGAAGTCACAACACATTAAGCGATGAAGAACTACAAACATTGTTTTGGCTACTGATCATTCGTGGCGGTAATTTTGCCGCTGAATGTGTAAGCTCGACTTTTTTTCGAGGCGGCGACGGCAGTTTCGCCACCAAGGCAGAAACCGCCCAGTGTGTAACCAGCGTTACAGTTATTTCAGACTTAAAAATTGCATCTACATTCTAAGAAGACCATAAAATACACGTTTTTTTATTTTCAAATTTGCTGCTAGTTTGGAAAATGGCGGCCATTTTTGAAACAATGGAATCAAGTACAGAACAATATCCACAATATGAGGAATAATATCTTATATGTTTTTATGGTATTTTTAGAATATAGATGCAATTTTAAGACTTATTTACTCTCAGCATATTCTCTATAAACTTACTCGTTTAGGAGCTACATGACACAGAATGTACACCGTGGCATGTCATTTTTTCTTAGTTGTAATACCCTGTAACTCCTAAACGAGTAGCTTTAGACAAAAAATGCCAAGAAAAAAAAATGTTAAAAAAAAATTTACTTTCTATAGATTCTATAAATTATAGGGCCTCCTATTAGAAAATCAAACATGGTGGTCATATTTAAAAAAATGGAGACTAAAATTATTTTCTCAACTTGACTAACATAAAAACCTTCTTTTTTCATAAAACCCTGATTCTGAAAATGATAGTTTTTTCCGTGCAAAATGTCGGAAAACTACGGAAAAGCAGAAAATCTTTTTGTTAACACAAAAAATTGGTAATGTACAATCAATTTAAAAGGTAAAGCGAGCTGAACAAGAATATTCAAGGAGTTTTAAGATATGATTGATATTAACGGAGATACGGTCGGAAAACGGAAAAATAAGTAAGCTACGACCGTAAAAGTGTTGTTTAGGTTAGGTTAAGTTGGGGGCCAGGTTTGGTTGGATTAAGTTGGGTTGGGTTACTGACAATACCAATGTAACCTAACCTAACCTAATCTAACCCAACCTAAACTAAGTTTTGTTCAAGGAAAGGCTCTAGGCCAGGATTTTAAATTGTAGAAAAAGGTGGATAGCATCTAGCTTACCTTGAAAGTGTAGGTAGGCCATAGAACATGTAGAAAATACACTGTGCATATAATATTTCGTCCCCTGAGGGACTTGGTCATGTGTAGAGAAAGCATAAACCTAACCAAAGCTTTGTACAGTAGACTCCCTTTTATACGAACCCCTTTTAACTAGACATCGGTTTAACTGGACTACACTCGGCAGAAATGACATCTCTTAAACCGGACAATTTTTATCAGCACATTGGTTTAACCGGACTAGATCGGCAGGAAGTGGGCGGTACCGTAACGACTTTCCTCGTGGGAAAGATTTGAGACCGATCACAAGTCTTTATACAATGCTCTCCTAAATTTAAGTCGAATATCACAGTAAACGGTCCATTTTAACGAGTTTTTGGGGACGTCGGTTTAACTGGAATAACCGTTATCCGGACTGGCCTCGGTCCCGAGGAGTCTGGATAAGTGGGAGTCTACTGTATCTCCGTTAATATCCATCGGATCTTGAAACTTCTTGCATATATAATTTGAGTACCCACATGACCTATTTCCGCGAAAATGTTTTTTCCCGTTTTCCGGGGTTTTTCGAAGCAAAAAAAAACTATTATTTTCAGAACCAGGTCGTTATTTCCTAGATTTTTTAAAAAGAAAATTTAATTTTCTGAGGGTACACTGAGAAGGTAAGATTTAGCAAAAAATCCAAGGCAGTACCAATTTAACTGTATAATAAATTAATGTATATAATAAATTATAACTTAATTATAACCTGTAGAGGTAGGTTACCCGTATACAAAGAAATTTATAATAAAAGGTTAAATTACCTGTGTCCGCCAGTCGATCCTTGTGCTGTGTCCTATTACAGGATATGCATTTCGGCAGAATAAATTGCCATCATCAGTCCTAATATAAGATCTTGATCTTCCCCGTAGGGTGCGTCTTGAAGTTTTGGAACACGTACACGAACTTAACACTTATATACATTAAGTTCGTGTACGTGTTCCAAAACTTCAAGACGCACCCTACGGGGAAGATCAAGATCTTATATTAGGACTGATGATGGCAATTTATTCTGCCGAAATGCATATCCTGTAATAGGACACAGCACAAGGATCGACTGGCGGACACAGGTAATTTAACCTTTTATTGTATGTCTTACCGATCCGGAACAACAACAACATAAAATGAAGAAATTTATGACAGAAATTGTTCTCACAAAGAAATTGATGAATTTAACCCTGTATTAACAATTAATCATGATGAGTGAGAATACTCCTATAGCAAAAACTGTAGCCCTTTAAATTGAAATTCCACTGTATCTTACACCCATACCTCAGGGTTGTTGGCGGGCTGCGTGTGAGGCAGTACAGCCATGGTTACAGGAATGCCCTGTGATGAAGTGAACACATGTTTGACTAACACTGGGGCTGTTGGCCTCTGTTGGTATGTCCTCTGCTTGCCTGCCAGCACCTTGGCTCCTCGCGACGACGTTACCACGCTGTACTGCGTCTAAGCATTTACAATTGTTGATCAGTATCATTAACTCTTGGTTCAGATAAAATCATTCTTTATTTGTTATTTTACATAAATAACATGTATTGAATAGAGTCAAATGTAGGCTACGAATACATATATACAACTATTACAAAATGCTTAAAATATATTATAAGATTTACTGTCAACAAAATAATCTTTAAAAAGTGAAGAATTTCTAACTGAATATTAAAACAGAAATATATAACATCATTGCAATCACAATAACATAAGCAGTTAATAAAATTTTAAAAAAATATAGCCAACATCCATTTTCTGGGCTTAAATACAAAAATTATACAAAAAAGGTTTACTCATCATGGTGAGTGTTTAAATGGTTCTCTTAATTTTTCTATGGAAATCAAATTCAAATTATGTAACCTACTAATATTTATTTTTTTAAGTTTTCTATGAAATAAAATGGAAATTTGATTAAAAAGTATTTTAGTGTTCTTTTAAATTTATTTGAATTGTCTTCCCTCTTTATATGAGCTGGCAGGTGTTGCAAAAAAGTTAAACCTGAATAATTAGTTATTTCTTTGAAAAATTCCAATTTATGTCATGGTAAGTTATTTTTAAACCTAGTTTTATAGTCACCAGTATTGATTGAAGAGGAAAACTATAGACGGATAATTCATAAATATACAGAACTGTTAGGATTTTTAACTCTTTAAAATATCTCTTAGCTGAATCTCTTTTTTGCAGTTTCTTCATTACATGTATAGCCTTATTTTGTTTTATAAGGATAGAATCCAAATTGGTCTTTGTTGTTGCTCCATAAATAGATATTCCATAAGATATGTGATTATGTAGTAATTAAAAATATATAATCCTCAAAGTGTCTATGCTGCAGATCTGAGACATCTGTCTCAAAGCATATATACAAAAGTCAATTTTTTAACAACATGTTTAACGTGATTGTTACAGTTTACAAGGTTGGAAAGCCAAGTGGCTAGTTAAAAGTTTTTTGAAGAGGAATAGAGTTCAGCTAGCATACATGAAATAGAGTCTAGGGGATAATAGAAACACAATAAATTGTCACAATACGTAATCAAGCTAAAGGGAGAAAGGTTGCTGATACCAATTATTGATACAGTTATAGTAACTATAGTTCGGCCGCTTAGAAAACGACCTCCTCTAGCGTTGGTTTAGCATAAGCACGCAGGTCGCTTTCTAAGCGGCCAAACTATAGCTGCTGTACCCGTGCGTTGCAACGGAGATGACACTGGAGAGAAATATTTGGTCTTTAAATTTGTTATATAAAATAGCTACAAATCTGCATTTGGTTTTGGAAACAAAACTCAATTGGACCTCTTAGTTAAAAAAAATATATATATTTCTTGAAAGCTAGGCTAACTTATAAGATGTATCATAAAGTATGATTTATATTGAGGGGCAGATGCATACATGAAAATACTGCACTCATGCCATTTAATTTTAAAATGATACCCTTACTTAAAAGTTAAATGTTTATTTAGTTGAAAAACTTACATATAAAGCCAATAGCCAATAAAATAATCACACGACATATGGTAAAACAAAAAACTATTTATATTGATTTCACATACAATTGATAATTTTTATTCTAACTACTGTACTATTGTATTGCGCAGGGACCGGCGATTTTGGGCAGCATTTTTGTTGGGAAAAACTGCTCAAAACGCTAGACACGAACCTGGATCCTCACTTCTAGGAACAAAAGCTAAGATTTTATGTAAATCAATTTTAGGCTCTGGGGAAGCACCCACTTTAAGTTTTAAGTTTAAGTGTAAATTAACCTATGTCATGTTTGACATAAATATTATTTTTATTTATAAAATTTACTCCAAATTTGAGGATTGTTTTTATAAATATAATATAATAATTTTTAATAATACTATCAGCGAAACTCCAGCATTGCCTGGGTCAAAATACTATGCACAATAAAACACATTTTTAAGCAACACTTTAATCAACGTTTATTTTCTTTAAAAATGTTTAGTCTCTTCATAGCTAGGGTAGTGGTCCAGGACCTCCAGGTCCACATTCACAGACTTTCTTACACATTCACAATTGTTTTTCAACAATTTGTACACGTTTTCCATCCATGAGCAGGTTTGGATTTTTCCTTGTTGTCTCATTCTTGTCATTCAATTGTCGTCTTTGAGTGTTTTTAAGTCCCTTATTAAGATGTTTATTTTGTCAATGCTGAGAATTGTGGCTGCCTTCAATGGTTGTTTCGACGTCTCCTCTTTAAGTTTTAAATACTCAGCTTTATCAATCTTCTACAGGTCCAAGAAGCAACTCCAAAGATGGTTTAGCAGGTTTTTTTTGTCCTAGGACGCTAGGCACGAGCCTGGGATTGTTTTCACATAACTTCAGGCTAGACCTAGGGGTTGCGGCAATATCACTTAGATAAAATCCATTGGTGACTTGGCGGGGATTGAACCCAGGACCTCAGGGACTGAAGTCGCACGCTCTAACCACTGCGCCAGCTCGCTCCCCCGATGGTCTAGCAGGTAGGCTCACCAATTAATTGTCCGTCTCAAAGCACTCTTAACCTATTAACCTAATGAAATACCTAAAAATCCACTATACCGGTACAGGCACTAGGCCTAAAAAAAATCATAGTCACTAAACAAAGCCTTTTTTATATCTTTTTTTTCAACAAGCCTGCACCCCTCCCCCCCCCAATCCCTTTCAGTGCTACGGTCACGAAAAGTGCTAGGTTCCGATAATTGGATTACGTAATTTAACAAAAAAATTCTAAGATCCGATATATCGGATTTTACAATAATGCATACAACTCTGCTGTTTAATGTGATATTTTCATGCAGAATGCGGCAAATTGAAGGGGAATAAGTTAGCTAATAGGAAATAACAAACACCTAATGTTTTTATATAGTGCGTGTGCCACAGTGATGACGTAATCTACGTGGCAGTGGCGTCTTGCCGCTTGGAACGTAGTAGCAGACTACAGCTGCGAGATGCTTTGCTTACAATCGCGTATTGTGTGTTTATATTGTGTTGCGTGTTGTTACATACATCTAATTCCGTTATTGTTGATAACAATTTTGGAGTAATATGGGCAACCAAAAACGTTCTAAATCGCCAGTTAGCGAGGGTACAATCAGACAATTTGCTAGAGAATCAGGACTGAACATTGATTTTTGTGACAGTGAAAATGAAGGTTATGATATTAGTAGTCTGAGTAGTGATTTTGATGTTGACGATACGGATGATGATCCAACTTTCAACCCTGAACAACCTAGTACATTGTCAGGAATTCCACCACGAGGTAATAGGCTACCTTTGTTCATACCAAGATCCAGGCAAACGCCCAACTATGAGACATCTGACTCAGAGGCAGATGACCTTGAACCAACTAGGCCTACACCTAGGGCTGTACCTAGAGGTGGTTCTAGTACTTCTAGACGTTGTAGAGGTGGTAGGAGTAGAGGCAATAGAGGTAGAGGAGCTAGGGCTGTCAGACCAAATGTAGCACGTACACAAAATGTAGCAGAAGACAGCAGCAGCTGGGATGAGGTCAAAGAGGGTAATGACCAACCTCCTGACCATGGATTCCAATTTTTAGAGCATAGTGGGCCTAAGCATTGCCCCCCACCAAACTCAAAACCTATTAGTTACTTTTCATAACAACCTCTTTACTACAAATGTTTGTAAATAACACCAATCGATATCCCCGTAAGCACAGAAAACGTACTACTATAACCAGAATGCCAACCGCATGGTAAAAAGCATTAAGCGGTTTGAGAGAGCTTTGCCTGTCAATCCGTAGGCAGCGCCACCAGCGTTGCCATGCAATAGCATAGCAACGCTGGTGGCGCTGCCTACCGATTGACAGGCAAAGCTCTCTCAAAACACTTAATGCTTTTTACCATGCGGTTGGCATTCTGGGTTATAGTAGTACGTTTTCTGTGCCGTAAGCTCCATGGGAATGACCAAGACCTGTCCCCTTTTAGCCGGCTAAGAAACTGGGTGGATGTAAATGTGGCAGAAATGAAAGCGTTTCTTGCCATCATTCTAAATATGGGGATGATTAGAAAACCGAGCATAGAAAGCTATTGGGACACTCATTTTAGTTTGGAGACACCATATTTTGCAAAAGTGATGGCAAGAGATCGTTTTCAGGCAATTTTAAAATTCTTCCACCTCGTAGATGTCGACACCCTACCTAAACGCGGAGAGCCAGGATATGACCCTTGCGGAAGGTTTCAACCCATTATAGATCATGCTAATAGATTGTTTAAATTTTATTACTATCCAAGCAAAGCATTATCGGTTGATGAATCTCTAGTTGGCACAAAAAAACGAGTCCCCTTGACTCAGTACATGCCTGCAAAGAAACATCATAAATGGGGCATTACACTCTGGGTCTTTTGTGACTCTGTGACACGATATTGCGTACCGTACAGTTTTATTGTTATAAAGGGGCTCAACGATCCGATGACAATGAAAGAATTGTGGAGACTGGGTTGGACAGCTCGGTTGTGATGAAACTGTTAGAAATGGCAGGATGTCTAAACAAAGCCCATCACATGTTCCTTGTCAATTTTTTTACCTCCATTGCCCTAGCTAGAACATTATACAGCAATAAAACCTTCCTCACTGGTACTGAGAAAAGACAAAAGAAGAATACCAAAACAATATCATCTGACAGTGTAGCTAAGCCAGTTACTTATTCCATTCGAAGATCTGATCAAGAATTGCTAAGGAAAAAAACACAAATGGGGGGGGGATAGATTCAACCGATCAGATGTTGTACGTTTATCTTGACGAAAGAAGAACGATGAAACACGCAAAAATGTTATATTTAATGTAATTGGCAGAATGGTTCTGAATTCATACATTCGTTATAAATTAAATACACCTGGGAAAAAACTGGAAAGGGCTGACTTTATGAGGGAAATAATTGAGGATTTATCAAATGAATGGTTGGCTACAAAAAGTGTTCCAGCGGAGTTAGGAGGGGGTGG